AGCGCACTTTTTGATTGGTCCAGCGGATGCTAAGCTACACTCAAAAATATTTTGGAAAAAATTTACAAAAAATTAAATTTACGAGATAATCGTTCGGGAATACCGCCAAGGTCTTTAGCAAAAAGTCTCAATCAAAAAATGTACGGCGCAGTTTTTGATTGGTCCAGCGGATGCTGAGCTACACTAGAAATCAAATTTGGAAAATATTTAGAAAAATTAAATTTGCGAGATAATCGTTCGGGAATACCGCCATTGTGATTAGAAGAAAGTTCTGAACAAAAAATGTATGGCGCACTTTTTGATTGGTCCAGCAGATGCTGAGCTACACTAGAAAACAAATTTGGAAAAAATTTCGAAAAATTAAATTTGCGAGATAATTGATCGGGAATACTGCCTAAGTCTTAACCCGGGAGTCTCGAACAAAAAATGTATGGCGCACTTTTTGATTGGTCCAGCGGATGCTGAGCTACACTCAGATAAATTTTTTAAAAAATTTCGAAAAAATAATTTTGCGAGATAATTGATCGGGAATACTGCCAAAGTCTTAACCCGGGAGTCTCGAACAAAAAATGTATGACGCACTTTTTGATTGGTCCAGCGGATGTTGAGCTACAGTAGAAAACAAATTTGGAAAAAATTTAGAAAAATTAAATTTGCCAGATAACCGCTCCGGAATACCACCAGAAAAATAGGGAAAATGTTTCGAACAGAAAATGTATGGCGCACTTTTTGATTGGTCCAGCGGATGCTGAGCTACACTCACTAAAACTGGGGAAAATTTTCGAAAAAAAAAATTTGCCAGATAATGACTCGGGAATAATGCCAAAAAATTGAGCAAAAAGTATCGAAAAAAAATGTATGGCGCACTTTTTGATTAGTCCAGCGGATGCAGAGCTACACTCACTAAAACTGGGGCAAAATTTTCGAAAAAAAAAATTTGCCAGATAATGACTCGGGAATAATGCCAAAAAATTGAGCAAAAAGTCTAACAATAATTATGAATTATTTTACCGTTTTGCAATTGTAACGATACTTTAATATTTTCTTATATTTCGAACAATAAAAACATTTAAAAAATACAAACTTTACTATAATTGCGTTGCACGTAATTTTACTTTTGCTAATATAAAGAAAAGCATTCAGTTAATTATCGAAAGATAAATGAGAAAATATTAACGTGAAATAACATTTCTTCAAGGTAAAAGTAAACTGTAGATTTAATTATGATTCTTTTTTTTCTTAATTGAAAAAATCTTCGTGATAAGAAGGGAAAAAATACTGCATAGGATTCTAACTTTAAAATTTTTAATTTAATTTTTATTTAATATTAATTAATTTTAGTTTAATTTTGTTAAATAAACTTTTTACTGAGACAAACTATACACGTAGAAAAGAATTTTAATTTGACACAACGGTAATTTTTTTTTTTTTTTGATGAATCGACAACAAAGCAATAAAATCACATGTTGTATAACATGTATAAATATTGGGATTTTTTTGTTTTTTGCGACAATTGGAACGAGATTTGCAAATGGAAAACCAGTTTCGAGGGTTCCCTATGAGTGAGAAAGTTACGAGAAATCGAAGGAACCTGGTTTTATGACTCCGAAATGAGGTGAAATTCCTTTTCATTGATATTCTGAATGCGAAATCTTTGTCCAAAACCTGTCTTCCATACCAACAGCTTAATTCCGCGGGGCAGATTTCCGTTCTGGATTCACAATCCCTAATATCATTCAAGAGAGCATTATATTATATTATATATATATAGCAGAGTCCTCCATTAAAATTCACTTCTAGACAAAATAGCATGCACTTTATATTGAAAATTGAAGCGTGCTTATTTAAATTGAAATATTCTCCATCTATATGAAATTAGAGATGATAAGCCATATATAAAAGAAAATATCAAAGTTGCATTATATTGAAAATTTTTAGAAAATAATTTTTTTTATTATATGAAATATGAAAGTTCTTTTTTTCTAGAAAATACATATAGCCAAAAAATGTCTCTGTCAACAAATTACCGTTAATCCACATACCAAAAGGAAAAGAATATTTTTAAAACTAAAATTGGAAAATTAGAAAGCAATTTTTTTTTTTTTTTTTGCAAAAAAGTATATTGAATTAAAAAAGTAAAATTGAAATTAAAAAAATCTATTTATTAAAATATTAGAAATGAAAATTTCCAATTGTGACGAATTGAATAGATAAAAATTATTTTGCCAACAAATTTATAGTTTAACTTTGAGACATAACCAGATCTCACTGTCATCTACAGCGAGGAATCGTTCAATAAAATTTATGAAGCGTTACATGAAGCCTTGTTGTTTGTATATAATTACGAAAGGACAGCTTCCCTCATCAATTTCAATTACGCGATACAACAACAAAAAAAAAAAACCCACCTGACAGCATTTTACAGTATTTTCTCATTTTTTTGCACTGACACTTTGTGTTTTTTAAATTTTCAACTTTCGAGAAATATAAGAATAAAACACCAGAGTTTTTTAACGACAAACTGTTTGTTAAATATTTTTTTTCCCTCAATTATTTTATACCTTATTAATTTTATTTCAAATTATTTTTATATAAATAATATTGTTATAATAACAATATTAATAATAGTAATAATAATAATAATAATAATAATAATAAATAATAATAAAAGTATTGTTAAAAAACAAAAATGCAAATTCTTTTGTATGACAATTTACTGAAATAAATAAAATATGAATTTTTGTTTCTTAAAAATTACCAAACATTCAAGAAGTAGAGGCAAAGTTTTCTAAAGATAATAAATATAAGAGAGAGAATAAGTTCCAGGACATTTACTGAATGTAAATTTGTGAAACTAAGTATATCAAACATTATATTGAATTAGGAGAGAAAAGGAAGTCTTTTGTCTGGTGACTTACTTCCTGGATATATGTTTTAAATAATTTAAAACGGTATATGAACCAAAAGTTTAAAAATTCAGCCGAGTTTTTTTTTTTTTATAGTGTTCATATCCTTTAATCTCTGATTTAGAATTCAGTATATTATTTTTTTTTAATTAAATAAAAAAAAAAAAATTGCGTGTCTGTGAGGCGTCACATCAATTTTTTTTTTCTAAATGATTCTACTTAATTAAATGTATAATAGCTTAACACATTTATGCTTGTTCATTAATTAAATAGAATTAAACGGGTGAGTGAAAGATATAATTGAGCAATATTAATATGTGGATACTGATTTGCAAAATTATAAATTACACCATCATATAATAATCGCGGTGTATTTAAATTTTAATTATATTGTGCCAATTTTTAATATTATTTGAATTAATTTTCACCTGTTTTTTTTTTAGTTCTCAAAAATTTAAATAACAAATAAATTTAAATATTTAAATTGACAATTTTATATAGAAATAAATATTTTTTTTTTTTTATATATATATTTTTATATGTTCAATAATTTATTTATTTGAAATAAACTGATTCTAAATAGAATTTGTATCTTTGAATTTCAATTTGATACATCAGGGGATAGACAGATTCGATAAGAAATGAAATTGACTATTACAAAAGTGATGAAATCTTCAGTTAAAAGAAGATTAGTTGAAATCCCTACGGATAACATTTTTCAATAGACAATCAAATTCAACTCTCAATCAAATGGGAAATTCAATTGCTTTTGCGCAACATGAAAGTATATATAATATAAGGAAGAAAATTAAATTAATTTTTTTCCTTGAAAATTATTCTCTAAATGCAAAAAAAAAAAATTTATTTTCTTTACATCACAAAGAAAAAACTTTTCTGATTAATTTCTGATTAGTAATCACAAAACTTAATTAATGAAAATTAATATTAAATCTAATTACAAACACTAACTTCTAATACTCAATAGACGCCTGTAATATATGTTCAACACATCAAACTTCAAAGTGTTTAAATTAAAATTTCAACCCCAAGGGGTAGCGAACTCCAGACACACATGACCTAATCTAACACCACTAATCGAGGCGCTTAACGACTGCGACCAACTTCAACCTGTCACAAAATTTAATTAAAATACCACTATTAATCTATTAAATAATTGTAAAATTAATAAATAATTATTAAATAATTATTTATTAATATATAATTATTAAATAATTATTTATTAATAAATAAATAACGTGAAATTAATAAAGAGATGAAAAAATATTAATTAATCAGATTATTAATTAGACTTACTATTTTTTCTCGAGGCGTGAATTTATCATCACCAAGAAAAAAAGGCAATTGTTGCATACAGAGAAAAGTAAAAATCGAGGGGGGAAAAAAAAATATGAAATATATTTAAGAGAAATGACAATAATAAGTGAGCAATCAATTTTAGTGGCATTTTGCCATTGAGGAAGAGCTTTTCCTGAATGGACAGAAGGAGGAAGAAGAAGAAGAATTACATACCGCCAAGTTAAGGCGATGAGTAGGACAGTGTGTCGATGTCGTGTACGTTGGACCCCTTCCTCCACGTGACCTGGCCACTGGCCCACTTTGATTTCTCCTCTTTCTCTCTCGCACCCTGCCACGGACCTCTTCCTCCCCCCACTTTGGACCCAATCTTCCTTTCTTCCTCCTTCTCCACTTTTTTATCTTTCTCTTTTCCTTCTTTCTTTTCTATTATTTCTATTATTATTATTAATATTATTATTATTTTTATTATTAATATTATTATTATTTTTATTATTAATATTATTATTATTTTTATTATTATTATTATTTTTTTTTTATTATTTTTATTATTAATATTAATATTGTTATTAATATTTTTATTATTATTGTTAATTATCGTTCTTCTCTTTTTTCCCTTTAAATTAGATCTTCTCTGGTCCTCAAAGAAGTCTACCTTCTTCTCCACCTCCATAATCATGAACCACTACCTTTAAGACACCATAACCACCACCACTATACCAATCGAGGCCCCGCTTTTATGACTTAGCCATGCAATTCCAGCACATGCCATGCCACACCACGAGTTACACTGGCAGACAGGTACCATCCTCTTAACTAGCCGGATGGATGAATAGTAGAGAGATAGTGATCGGGACCGGTACAATCAAAAAACTATCGAGAAGAGAGGAGATCGCTCGAGGATCTCATCTGGTCGCGAGGGTCGTCATCATCGTACCGGTCGACCAGATAAATTTTTTTTTTTTTTGTTCTGTGTTTATTATAGAAAAAAAAAAAAATTAGTGACGCCGAATGATTTGGAATTTATTTATCTATTTCCTTAATCAGGAACCACATTCGCCGAGTTTGCCAATTATTTTTATGATTTTTAAAATTATTCTCTATTACGGACATTGGGTTTGTTAATTATTATAGGATTACAGTGTTTTTAGAGTGAAAAAAAAAATTATACCGTTTGGAAAAAAAGTGAGTCTCTTATCGAGAGATAAAGAAAAAGAATTTTTTTTTGTGGAACCAAAGGTGAATGTTAATTCGGAATTTGTTATGATACGAACCCTTTGAAACACGGAATATACGAGTATTTACATCGATTTACGGTAAATTTTATTTTATACCAATAACTATTTAACAAATTATAATTAATTAAATTACTTTATATTTAGAAATACAAAAAAAGATAAATTTTTTTCCCAATAATTCCATTAAAAAAAATTTTAATTCAAAAATGTCATGTATTTAATTTAATGTTTTTTTTATTATAAAAAAACGATATTTTGCTTTTTACAAAAAAATAAATAATCACTAGGATATAAAATTGTGTGAGAGAAATGTGAAATATAAAAAATGGAAAATATGAAAAATTACTTTCCGATGAGAATCAAATTTTTATGTAAAAAATTTTATTTTATAATACAAAAAAAAATTTCTCCACGTGAAAGCAAAATGATTTTTTCTTTTTCAATATTTTTAAAAGTACTTTTTATGAAATATGTATGACATTTTTTATAAAACACAGTGATTTTTTAAATTGTCAATTTTAATTTAAACCACTAATGGAATTATTGAGATTTATTAGTAAAGTTCAATTAATTCATAAACCAAAAATCAGGTACTAATTAATTAGTTAAACATTTTTTATATACGAGTTCAAATTTAGAGAATTTTTTTGTTTCATTTAAAAAACGAAAAAAGAAATTTACCAAAGAAAATTTTATTTTCCAAAGAAAAAAAATTTTATTTGATTCAAATAATTTATTTGACTATTTTCAAATAAATATATTTACTTAAATTAAATAGTTTTTATTTGAATTTAATAATTTTTTTTTCAATGTAATAAACAATTTAAAAAATCAAATAACAAAAATTTATTTAGTTAAAAAAACAGTTTTTTAATCATTTTTTTTTGTAATCTATATTTTTTCTTGATTAAAAAAATATAATCCTTTGAACTAAAAAAAACATTCTTTCAACTAAAAAAATATTCTTTCAACAAAAAACCATTTTTTTTTTTTTTTGAAAATAAAAAACATTTTTTAATTATTAAACACTACTCAACATCTATTTGGGAACGAAAAAATAAATTTTCTTAATCAAAATATAATAAATTTCCTTCCGATTTATAAAGAAACTTTCCTCCGGGTGAATGATCTTTCTCATGAAATTCGTTATAGGAGTTTCTCTTTCAAAATGATATAATTACGTAACCATTATAATGAATTTGGATCAACCTTGACGAAAGAGTCAAGGATTTGATTTGACCTTGAGAGGGGTTTTTTTTCATAGATATATATAGTTAATTCAACGAAATTAATGATATTGAATAAGATGATCCTCCTTATTGTAAAACGATTATAGTAAATCTCGTATATTGAAAATGTAAGTTATATATATCTATAAAGATAAATAATTTTCTATATAGATAATTCAATCTAATTTGTATTTGATGTATATATGTGCGCGATAAGATAATAAACGGGTTTCACCTCTCATTCATTTATATTATATACGTGTGTATTTAATCTCCATGACCTAAGATGAATTTATAGAAGCGATCTATGGCCTTTATAATATTTCATTATTATTATTATTATTTATTATTAATGATAATCGATCACGCAATCGATGGTCCGTTTCACTGTTCATTGAAATCAGGGCGCGATTGACAATCGCAATTTACTGATGATACGATACCGCCCACCGGTTAATATTATAAAAAAAAAAGAGGCTAGAGAAAGCTATTTTATTCCCAATGACTTGAGAGCCCCATTGGAATAACGAGACGTTTCGATACGGAAAATTATTTTGCATGCTCTACCGCCTTGCAAAGTTTACTCCTCTTTTTTCTGCGTATTAAAACCATCTAACATTCTCCATAAGACATATAAATTCATTAAGCACACCAATTTTTACATAAAGAATTTTTTTTCGCAAAAAAAAAAAAAATCCTCTAATTATTGATCATTTATTAATTTTCAAATCAGAAACAAATTTTTTTTTTTTTTAATAAAAAGAAAAGAAAAAAAATTTGTTTAAGAAATATTTTACAATAAAAAAAATAATAAAATAATAACAACAATAATAATAATAATAATAATAATAATAATAATAATAATAATAAATAATAATAAAATTATGATTCGATTTTACTTTTTAATGATTTTTCCATTTTATCCTGAATTTTCGCTGTAATAAATATAAATGAAAAAACCAAATTTATAGCAGATTTTAAAATATATTATTCCATAGCCAATTTTCAAGAATTATTTTTTTTTCTTGCAATTTATATCAATTTATTGTCAATCAATTATTATCCATTGTAACGATAGAAAAAAAAAAAAATTACTGTTACTTTTAGTCATTTTTTTACAAAAATTTTTATATAGACGTGTCAAAAGCATTTTAAGAATATGAATCACTTTTTTTTCCCCCTTCAACATAAAATGTAAAAGAATCAGCATAAAAGACATGTTAAAATGAAATTTATGTGCAGGAAATTGCTCTCCTTTATATAGGTATATATGAAATCGTAAAATTTATTCCAAAACTATCACAAAAAAAAATTTCAACCATCAATAATAATTTTATATTCCTTAAAAAAAAAAAAAAAAAAAAAATTATTAACAATAAACAAATACTCTTGGTAATAAATTTAAAAAAATTTAATTTACATAGAAATTTTCTGTATTTAATAATAATAATAATAATAATAATAATAATAATAATAATAATTTTTAAATAATTTTATTAGTATATTCTGGATAAATATTCATATTATTTGATGTAATATAAAAAATTATTTATCAACAATAATTGTACTGATATAATTATTTTTTTTTCATTTATAACACATTTTTTAATACTGATTAATTTTTAAGGATAAAATAACAATAATAATGATAAAAATAAAATTAATTAATTCTTACCAAATTATTTATTGATGGTAAAATGGAAAAATTATTTTATTTATTATTTTTTGTTTTTATTTTAGTAATATATATGACGCGCTCTGAATAAAGGGACGTTAGAAGCAAACGAATTATAGGTTATGTTTACAATAATTTTACTTTGATTGAAAAATTTTTTTTTTCATTTATATAAAATAAAAATCAGTTTTCATTGAATATTTCGAAAGTAATGAAGACTTAAATATCAATAATTTGTATTGATCATCTGTTTGTATTTTCACTTCGAAATTTTAAAACATAACCTATAATTTTTTCCTTCTAGAGTCCCTTTTTTCAAAGCGTTTCATATATTTATTTTATAATATTATTTAATTAATTGGAGAAATTTAATTAATCAATGATTATTAATTAATAATAATAAAAATAAAATAATTGAAAAATCTTATTTTAATTAAAAAATTAAAATTAATAAAATTTTATTTTATTAATTAAAATTTTTTATTTTTATTATTTGTCAATAATTGGGAATAATTTGAAAAAAAAACGTTTCGAAAATTATGTGGAAAATAATAGTAATTTTATAATGAGACCTTGAACTTGAAAAAATCATAAGAAAACGAAAAAAAGAAGTCGAGTTTCCTATATATATATATATATATATATATATATAAGCGGAAGAATTTCCGGAAGTTGCATATATATACACACGCATACACCTGGGCATCAGTATGTGATCTCTCTGAAAAAGGTGAAAGAGTTCGGTAGACGCAATCTGGTTTTACGAGTTTGCGAGGACGTTGACGAAGAAGTCTCCCGTCCGGCGAGGCTAAGCAATCGGGTCACCCAGATCCAATAATCTAGAAGACCGAGACCAAAGCTTTCTCTATGGGTATTACGTTTACACAACACAAAACGTATTATTTACTATACATACATTTCTCTGTGACGGAAGTTTAGTTCTATTGTTATCAATATATATATATATTATAAAGGCGGAAATGATACACCTTAAAACTCTAATTACTGCGAAAATAATTTTTTTTTTTTTTTTTGACCTAAAAACAATTTCGAAAAGTTATTTTTTAATCTAATCTCATTAAAAACAGAATTTCTATTTAGAAATTAAAAATTAATACTGAAAAATTGGTTACAATGACAATAAAAAAAAACGGAAAATTGAAAAAAAATTTTTTTGTTTCAAATAATCGGTTTTTTTTTTATTATCAAATAAATATTTACTTGAACCAAATATATATTTTTTTTTTTTGAATTATATGAACTTTATTTGAACCAATAATAATAACAATAACATTTATAATAATCCCACTTGGAAAGATTCCTCGGAAAGTGCCCCCTGGAGATTCCATCAGAATTCCGTCGGAATGCCAAAGAATTTCCTATGGGATTCCGACAGAATTCCGATGAGATTCCGACGAAATTCCAAAGGAAATCCGTCTTTCTTTTTAATCTTTTGAATCATACATTAAGATAATATTTCATAAAAAATAAAATTTTTTAGTAAAATTTCTACACTCAGAAAAAAATTCGTTTGAAGCAACCAAATTTTTGTTAAATCAACAAAATAAATGCATTGATATACAGTTAACCAAACATTTGGTTGCATAAACCAAACGTTTATTATAGCTCAATTTTTTTCTTTGTTCAAAAAATTTATTAAAATAAACCAAACAGTTATTTAGATCAAATAAATATTTATTTGAATTAAACAAATTTTTTGTTTGAACTAACCAAAAAATTGGGTAAATATAAAAAAATGGTACATTTGGTTCAAACATATCTTTTTTCTGAGTGTATGATAAAAATTCTATTTTATAATAATAATTATTTTCTTAATGTAGAACTCTAAAAATTAAAAAAGAATTAATTGGAATTCCATCGGATTCTCATTGGATATTTTTTGGAACTCCGATGAAAGTCCGACGGAATTCCGTTGGAAGTTCCGACGGAATTCTTGTGGAATCTCCAGGAGGCACTTTCCGGGGAATCTTTGCAAGTGGGATAACCAATAATAATAATTTGGTCAATTATTTTACCATTTTATTTGGTAAATATTTATTTAAGTCAAGTAACCGATTATTTAAATCAAATAAATTTTTTTTTTTAGAAATTTTTCTCAATTAAAATTCAGTAAATAAAAAATTCTAAAAATTAAAAAAGGAATTTATTTTATAATAAAAAAATAAAAATTATCTCAAAAAAAAGGAAATTGAAAAAAAAAATTTTACTAAAAAGATGAATTTCTAAATTTTTAGAGATTTAGATGAATTCGGTTTCTGTATAAAAGAAAATTTTTTTTATCCTATGAAGGATATCCGGATGATGATGATGATTTGCTATAATATTTATAATGTCTAATATCCCCCTCAAAAGGTGTATGTTTCATATTATGTTCGGACAATGAACGCGGAAGAATTTTAGAGGCTCTCTTGGAAAACGTTGATCCCTTCGCTTGGGGCTTAGTTATATGGATAGGTGCATCTGTTATCTTGTGGCTTTTAAAGATTTTCATGCATCTTGTAATTCTTCTCTTGTTTTATTTTAACGATGCCTATCTCTTTTTAACACTATTTTACATTTTTTTCAAATTTCGAAAGACGAGAAAATTATATTGCTATTCGGCCGTTAGAAAATGAAAGAAACAAACTGAAATTCCTCCTATAAAATATAAATTTTTTTGTCATTTGGATAATAATTTTTTTTTTTTAATTATAGCAAAAATTGATAAATTTTTGTTAAAAGAGAAAAAATTTTTTCTAAGGGACAAATAATTTTTACTTTTGTATAAAGATATATTTTATAAGAAATAAAATATTTTGAAAGTCGATTACGTCTGGACAATAATCATTCAATGATGAAATAATATAATTCAACACTGCATCTAGTAAATAGATTATCTCTATCCCATTCACACGTGCACACATTACAATGGGAAGGTCAAGATCAATGAAAAACGAAAGTGAAATTAACGTAATGGGCTTTCTCTCTCTTATAAAATTAGATGTAATTTAATATAACTTCGGAAAAGTATTTTCTTTTTTCTTAATTCGATGCAAATATTAAATAAATAATATTTGTCGTTTAATTAATTTTTTTTTTTCATTTTTTTTATTTCAATAAAAAATAAACAAAAAAAAAAGCGTTAACAAATATGACAAAAAAAAAATTAATTTCATTCTAATTCTCCATATTTGTAAACGGAAATTGTATTCAAATTTATTCCAAATAACAGTTTTAAGTAACTATATATAATGTCTTGTTCGCAACTATGTCCTAAAAAAAAGAAAAAGAAAAAAAATGAACAGTTAATTCCAAGAAGCTTATAAACACGTAAAATTATTAGAGCAATGTATTATCTCTTCACAATAAATGATGTGTGAAAAAAAACTGCATTCTTAACTTTTTAGCAAATATATACGCGAAAAAAAAATTAACTTCAATTGACTATTAAACGCAGAAATTTTTTTTTTTTTTTGTTTCAAACAATCAATTATCAAATAATTATTTGTATTAAATAATTATTATTTGAGTCAATTAAATATTTGTTTCAAATAGAAAAATTATTCCTTCAAATACAGTTTAATAAAAATTATATTAAATAATTATTATTTAATTAAATGGTAATTATTTCAATTAAATTGTATTTGTTCCGAAATTATTGGTTTAAATAAGAATTATTTTGTTCAAGTAAATATTTATTTAATATTCAAATAACCGATTATTTCAATCAAATAAATTTTCTTTATATCTAAAGTAAACGATATTGTTTTATTTTTTCAAATATAAATTCCATTTTTTTTCTCTTAACATTTTTAAAAATAATTTTTAAAAATAATTTTTCTAAATTTAAATTAAATTTAAAATTGACTAATATTTGCGAAAATAATGAAGGAAGAAAGAGAAGAACAGAAATTTAATTCGAAAAATTTTCAAACAATGTCATAAAGAAAAAATTTTCTAACGGATTTATAATATAATGTAATAATTATCACATTGTTATAAAAGTCAGTAATAATTGCTATAAACTTGTTCCATTAACTTCCTCAATTGACTCATAAAATAAAAGCTCATGATTCTGACATGTGAAATGAAATTACACGAGGGAAAGTATAAGTACAAGTGTAAAACCTATAGTACATATAGACAGAAAATGCATAATTAAAATTCATTTATAATTTGCATATGACGATTGTGTATAAGCGTCGAATAATGAATTAATTTTATATACAAGAACCAAATTTATTTACACCCATAAGAATTATTATATATTTATTTTTTATTTTAATAAATTTTAAAATTATTATATATTAAAAAAAATTAAATAAAAACAAAAAAAAAATTTAATAAAAAGACAAATTTATAAAAAGAAAAATATTTTACATAATAAAATGAAACGTTAAAATAATAATTTTTTTTTTCCATGACAGTGAATAATAAAAAAAATACTAGTCTTTTCTAATTTAAATATTATTCAAAGGGGTTAAAGGAAAGAAATGTAACTAGGTTAGCAGTGTCTCTCCTTGAACCTACCTATACGCACAAGTAACTCGTGTCATCTTACTCGCAGTTTTTTTTTTTTTAACTTCTTTCTCTTTCTTCCTTCTTCTCGATCCACCTCTATTTTTCCCCACCTTTTAAAAGAACTGTAAATACCCACATGTCTATTTTTTAACAGTTATGATTCATGTTATTATAACATTCTTACACTTAAAAAAAAAAACCAACTTTTTAAAATTAATTTAATTTTAATATTCAACCCTCTGGTATTTTTTTTTTTTCTAAAAAAAATCTCTCATTTTCTCGTCTTTCGTGTTTGCTTAGATATTTTATATGTGTCAAATCTGTACTATATGAAAGACTGGTACCTAACGGGGCTTCCTATACGTATACGTATAAATACACGTCAAGTCACGTGCCTACATCAACAGGTGCAAAATACGTGTAGAAACGTCATTATTTGACTTGGTATTAGTTTATAAGTTCAAATGAGAAAATACTTTAGGAGAGGACGTTGACGTTAAGTATAGTCATTGAATCATTGACAGTGGTATTTGCCTTCGACAAATTGTATATATACACATATAGAGAGGATGAGGAAATATTATTCTTCTCTGTATTTAATTACAGATTGTTATTTCAAATGGAATTTGAGTTAGGCAGAAAAAAAAAGTAAAATCGAACATTTCCTTAGGATTATTTCTAAATAAGAAAAAAAAATTCTTATTTCCGATATCAATATTATTATTTCCTTATAGAAGTTAAAAAATATTTTCAACGGATGTAAAAAAAAAAAAACTAAAAATCAATCCAATAATAATCGATTGTAATTAGCATAAAAATATATTATATATAAAATGTGATGACAAATCTGTTAGCACGATGACAAAAGTATTTTTTTCCATTTTCCCATGCTTTAATCCACTTTTTTAAAAAAACGTTTTCAATTTTTTATCACTTCCTGAATTAAATAAACTCGAAACAGGATCCTCATTTAAAATTGAATCCGCGCTCATCTTTTGTAAAAAAAAAAAAAACGTTTTTTAAAATGAAGATAAAAAAATCTTTTATAAATGTGCACTCTCATTTTGGGATCATGAAAAAAAATACCATATAATCATTCTTGATTTGTCATCATGATTTATTTAATACTATTAATTTATTTTATTTATAATTTTACTTTAAACAACCAATTAATTAATATAAATTTTAATCGATAAATAATTTATAAAAATAGAGAAAAAAAATTATTTTAAAAAAAACGAGAAATGAAGTATAGATATAATAAAAAGAAAGTATTTTTAAAAAATAATATAAAAACGTAAAAAGCATAAAAGGTGAAAAAAATATTTTAAAAAACACATAAATACATTTTACATATTAAAGGTAAAAGTTAAAATTCTTATATTTTTTTCTCCATTTTTATAACGAGATTATAGTTTCATCGATTATTTTAAAAGGTTACATGTTATTTTCCATATAATTTTTTTAATATAATAAAAATAAAGGAAGGAAATATTTACTAAATTTATTATAATTATTTTTTCCAATGGGTAATAACTTTTAAGATTCTTCAAAAGTAGATCAAATATAATTTCTTCGAGAAAAGTAATTAACATGAATCTCTCTCTCTCTCTCGAAACTTTTGCAAATAACTAAACTTATTTTTATTCAAATAATTATTATTTTATAATAAATAATAGAATATAGTAAAAATTAAAATTTTATAGAAATGAAAACAAAATTCAGAGAAAGAATTTTCGTTTTGATAACAAATTTTCTTTTTTACTTTTACCTACTGCGTCTTTTCACCTGCACAACATTTTCTATTATAGTATATACACAAGTTTAACGACAATGAAATAACTAATGACTTAAGCCTTTGACATTTTCTAGCCTGTGTTTAATTAAAGTATCAACATATACACTACGACTCATTAAATATGCACGAACACCTCCTTTTGTAATATATATCTTTTGACAAAGGAGATAAGACTAAAGAAACTGCTTCATTAAGAAATTCACACAATTTGGAAAAACTAATTATAAACCTTCTTGCAGATGACTTCCGGTAGGAGTATTTATCTACTAGTCCTGTCTCTGGCAATGACAGAAGCTTTTTCCATTTCCTACACACAACCCGAAAGAGGTAAGTTATCAAAATTAATAATCTTTTGTATATACGAATTTTAAAATAAATTTTTTTCGAAAATAGATAAAAATATTCAATTTTCAACCTGTAAATTTTATAAATGTGATAATTTAAAAAAAAAGAAGATATTAGAAAGTTAGCCTTAATTTTACAAATATTAACTAATTATAAAGTCACTCTAAATCATTTATATATATATATATAGGTGTAAATTAAAAGCAGAAGTAACTTTCCATTGAACATTTGAGAGAAGGAAATGAAAGCTATATGAAATTATTTCTTTAAGTTCATATATCTATATAAGATTCTAAATTCTTTGGAGTTATAAAAAAAAAACAGTCAGTGAAGCTGGAAGTAATTTGTTTTCAATTGAGGATAGGAGCTCAAAGCTATAATCATATAATAAAGGAATAAATTTTACACATTCCATTTAAAACACTGTGTAACAATTGTGTCAGAACGAAAGTATGTATAATATGTACATTCCTTTCATACAATTCTTTATGACTACTTCATTTCGAAAAAAAAAAAAAAAAGAATTTTTCCTCTCAACCATCATTATATAGAACGATTTCGCTAGCATCTGGTCAGTGAAGAAGGAACAATTACACAAATAATAAATTACTTCTGATTATAACCTGCGAATTAGAATCAAAAGGAAAACTTGTCCAATTTTCCTATATTCTTCTGATTAAAAATTATAAAAATAGATTTCTAAAAAAGAATTGCAATTTTTTAATATATCTTTTTTTATGAAAGGAAATTTTATTTGGTATATTATAACTTTCGCTATTACAACCAAAATTGAGGAAAGAAATTAATATTCGATATTTATAACAATAATTTCGCACTCTTAATGAAACAATTCAAATTTCTATAAAGTAGCACATTGCAATAAAGGAGTGTAAAAAGAATCTGGAACGCTTTGGACGCGGCGCAAGGACCTCACGAGCATACGGACTATCTAAAGAGTAGGTCATTACATTGGTAGTGTGCATGAACTAAGTTCAGAAACGCACGTGCGAAGTCTACATGTTTGCTCGACTATATACATGTTTGTAGTCAACTAAGCATAACTTTTCAAAATCGTTATGTACGAAAAAAAAATTGAATCTTCTTCCTGTTCATTTTTAAACCCTTCCGGAAACTAAAATTGCGAGAAAATAGTAATTAAAAAAATCTGCGATAAAAGCTTATCAACTATCATTTTATCGTAAACTATGATCTACTTCCGGTTTAAATCAATTCCATCATACTGACAAAATTATACAAACAGGAAAGAAATAATTATCAGCAAAATATAATATCGCAAAAATACTTTCACAATATATATGGTGCAATTCAACGACCTTCACCATGACCATCACATCATCCCACGAGAGACGATTTCTCCAATAAGTTGCGGATATACAAACACACCTATATTACTATATCGACAAGTTTGATTCATCGTTTTTATATATATATATATATATATATATATATGAGATATCTAAACGTTAACTCAATTCATGTAATCATAAATCCTATAGATATATCGGATATCATTTTGTGTAAATAAAAAGTAAATGCCGCATTTATATCGGTAAAGTCCCTATAGAAATAAGGTGATAATACTTTAATGATCTCACGTTCCATTTTATCAACGTCAAAAGTGCAATTTATCTATCATCGAGAAAAATCAATCAAATTTATTTGAATTTGCAAATAGCTACTTTGAAACATTTATAATGCAATCATTTTATTTCTAAATGATGACAGCCTTTCATTTCTCTTTTCACATAGAAATTTCTTTCACGCATCAATGAATGTATATCAAGTACCAATATTTCTTTTTATTGCTTCAATAAAATAATAATTTTACTATGAACAAAAATTGACCCCTTATATCACTTTTATTTTAATTTATAAATGAAAAATTAAATACTTTTTCTCATGACACAGAAACAAAGAAGAGTAATTCCTAATAATTCCAAGATTTATCATAGAAAGTCAACAAATATTAAAATTTTCAATTTACTTTCACAAAAAACCCTAAAGTCACAATCATGTCCCAGTTATTGTAAATTTATGCACATCGTTTTCTCTCAGCAAACAAACACTGGAAAAATCAAGTATTTTTCTGTACCAAAAATTATCAACACAAGATTAGATAAAAATCCCAAACTATGATTCTTCTCCCTTTACAAATTGATTTATTTATTACATGATCACTAACATCCTTGTCCTCAATCTTCGTTTTCAGGGAGAAAGCTGTTTGGCGGGTATAGAATAGTTCCAAAGGTGTGTCAGCCAACGAATCCCTCGAGAGTTAAGCCCAACGAACCAGCCATTTGTATGTTCAATTACGAATGTACTCGACGGAACGGCGAAGTTGTTGGTGCCTGTATGGATGGATTTCTTTTTGGTGCATGTTGCCAATTGCCCTCAAAACATGCCCAAGTCAATAATTTAGAGAAAGTTCCTGGTCCCGACAATTTACTAAGTGTCTATCAAATAGATCAAGTGCCTGATATACCAATTCTTCTCAATCCCGATGGAACACCAATGGGATCATCATCATCATCTAATTCACCGATAAAATCAGAATCACCATCATCATCATCAAATTCAATAGGTGGTGGAACTTTCACGAAAATTTCAACAATTGGTCCTACCACAATTTTTCAAAATACAAAAATCGACAGTAATACAAAACAGCCACAAAATAATCAACAAATTAATTATAGTACACTAGAACAAGATATACCTAATTTATTTGGTCAACAACAAATGTTGGACGATCTACAATTACCAGGATTAATTACTCATTCGGATTCAAATAATGATATTCAAGATCATCAAGCTACTTCCATTTTAAGACCAGTGACAACATTACTCAATGCTGATCAAATTCTTCAAATTGCCGATCCTGTTGATCAATTACCAGTATTATTCTCCCAAGGTATCTCATCAAATAATCACACTGGTCCAGATACAATTCTTCTCAGTGAAAATGGCACTGTTCTAAACGAGAGTCACAATCCTGATGATATTTTTAAACCAACCACCATTTCCACGAAACAAAAATTCACTACTGGATATAATATTGCAACTTCACCTTCCAAACTATCATCCATTAAAAAAAGTACAACAAAGTTACCCATTCACACTCAAAAGTATGCTTATTCGGAAAAATTAACAGGCACAACGCAAAGTTTCAAAACAACAGGAAGTTTCACTGAATCGAAAAAACCTGATACAGGCATTACGGATCAAAAATTATCAGCTTCAAAAGTGATGTCCACCTTTGAAACAACAACTCCAATGAATTTAATTAATACCAAAAGTAAAAATAAAACTGATTTAGTTAGAGTTCCAACGATAACTTACGATGCTGGAAATAAAAAGCACGATGAACTTGATCGCGAGGAAATTGCCATTAATCACATTATTTCAATTTTAAATGACACTACACCAAGTACGGACACTAAATTTACACAACATGGTAAGTCTCCCATCAATTATTTATATATTGTAAAAGATTTTGATGTAATTAATAATCTATTTTTTTTAAAGCTGGAAACACAGTTTCCTCATGGACTCAAAATTGGGTGAGCATTGATGAAACATCCAAACCTTCTCTACTAAGAATAAGTTCAACTAGACCAAGTTCAATGAGACCATCTTCGTCGATGACAACAGAATCATTTCCCTATACTTATTTTAATAAAGGACCATCATCAAATCATTATTATTATCATCAAGTGTCCACTGAAACACCAGGAACAACATATTCATCCCAAGGATCGGGGGGAACTTCAACATATTTGTCATCTAGACTTCCTCTATATACAACTGGTACTTTCCCAGGTAGCAGTAGTTTAACAACAAGACCAACAACAAATCCACCAGCTCCAACAGTCATCGTGCTGGGTCCCTTTGCTACCGAGTACACAACTTCATCAAGTCAAAAATTATCTACTAGACGTCCCGCTACAACCATAAAAACCACAATTAATACAAATCCAGGAACAAAAAAACCAGTCGTATCAACAACAATTACACACAACATAAGTACTGTAATTTCCGGTGCTACTTTAAACAATAAACATGTTGTATCAACAAGTTACATTAGCGTTAATCTCAAAGATGGTACAAGCGTTAGACCAAGTACACTCAAGGATAATACATCAACAACAGAAACTATTTTCCACAGTTCATCAACACCAATTAGTACAAAGCAGCCATTCTGGACCACAAGCTACCCAAACAAAAAACCGAGTTTTCATCTAAAACCATCATTCGATATTAGCAAAAATGCTTCCAAGATTCCAGTTTCCACTTCAACTGCTTCACCATACGAAGATGAAACAGCAGCACCTGATGATTCCATTATTTTCCCACCTGTCCGACATCCTGAATTAAATATATCAAATGCAGTTGTTCAACAAGAGAAACCAACATTAGTACTCAAGGGAAATGACACAGATTATCCGGATAATTTTATTGTTGGTGATATTCCAACGCCTTCATTTATTGAGGATGATGTTTTAAAGAATAAGGTAGATTCGTTTGTCAATAAAATTGTTGACTCTTTACAAGGTAATTTTGAGGAATTGAAAGATGTTGTTTATACAAAGACAAATACAACTGTTTCGCCTCCAACAAAAATATCATCATCAACAACTAAACGACCAACATCTAGTCCAAGCAAAAAACCAAAACCATCTCAAGTCACTGTTAAAAAACCAGTGACACCCAAGAAACCAACAACAATTCGACCATCAACCGCCGCATCAGGTAGACCGACAACACTTAAATCAAAACCAACATCAGGACAAATTGTTGTAACAACAAAAAAAGTTACAGCTACTACAAAAAGACCAAAACCAACGAAAAAAATTACTACAATACCATCAACTGAAGTTATAACATCTGAGGATGTATCGTCAACATTATCAGAAGGCTTGCAAACAACGAGAATTCCTGATCTTAATTCAGCGACTGATCATCAAAAAGGTAATATTTAATTCTATTTGATTCCTTAACGGAAATTTTGACTCACTTGGCTAATGAATTTTGAATTGTCAACAGTTTGTGGAATTAGGCCTCATGTTAAAACAGGCAGAATTGTTGGAGGTAAAGGTGCAGTCTATGGTGAATGGCCATGGCAAGTTTTAGTTCGAGAATCAACTTGGCTTGGACTGTTCACAAAAAATAAATGTGGTGGCGTTCTAATAACAAATAAATATGTCATAACCGCAGCTCATTGTCAACCAGGGTATAATAATTAATTTATATTTAATTTTGTATCAATTAAAGAAAAATATACTTTCAGCGCTAATAATTTCTGAAATCCAAAGGTTCCTGGCGTCTTTAATAGCAGTATTTGGCGAACACGATATTTCTGGAGAACTAGAAGCAAAACGTAGCGTAACGAAAAATGTAAAACGAGTTATTGTGCATAAAGGTTACGATGCTGCGACCTTTGAAAACGATCTTGCATTACTTGAACTTGAGAGTCCCATTCAATTTGATACCCACATTGTGCCAATTTGCATGCCTGATGATAGTGAAGATTTCACCGGACAAATGGCCACAGTTACCGGATGGGGCCGTCTCAAGTACAGTAAGTATTAAAAATTCAAGTTTTTTTTTTCTATAGATACTAATTCATATTCGAAAATTTGTTCCACGGGATGAATAACCTTTTAACAACACGACTAATTATAAATGGGCATTTAAATTTTAAATGATATTAACCATTTGAAAAAGATATATATATTTCGACATCTATTCATAATTATTATTATTCATAGATGGTGGAGTCCCTTCAGTACTACAGGTGGTACATGTACCAATAATGGAAAATTCAGTGTGTCAAGAGATGTTCCAAATGGCAAATCATCCAAAATTGATATTAAACAGTTTTCTGTGCGCTGGTTACGCGACAGGTCTAAAGGATTCGTGTGAGGTAAATGCCCATAATGAAAATTTATTCAAACAACCTAATTTTCACTTTCTTCTATCACTTTAATTAAATCTGAAACTGTATAATAATAGATAGATTGACGGGTGTTAATGAAAGCCTAAAGTTTATACATATTCCGTTCAATTAAGGACTAGATTACACCATACGATTAAAGCTATTATAACGGGTGTCTTCCATGATCTACTTTTCTGTTATTCAGAGAAAATACTTGGATATTTTAATACTAAATACTTTAATAAATTTTTTTTGCAAATTAAGTAATTTTAATTCTTCTTCTTCTTCTAGAATTTAAAATACAAATTTTCTAATTAAGAAAAATCTTTCTGTTCTTTAGGGTGACAGTGGAGGACCTTTAACAATTCAACGAACAGATGGTAGATGGGTATTGGTTGGAACAGTGTCCCATGGAATAAAATGTGCAGCACCATATATGCCGGGTGTTTACATGAGAACCACTTATTTTAAGCCATGGTTACAAATTATCACTGGAGTTTAAAGTGTGAAATACTATGTACTTAAAAGTCAACGGCACTTGTGCCACTTGTATAAATGTACAAATGAGATTAATTTATTCAAATCTTTAATCAAGACGATGAAAATCGAAAAAAAAGAAAAGAAATTTCACGTGATTCGTGCTCAAATTGAGATTAATATGCAAGAGCCAATTAATCGATTTAATCGTTCTATTCTGTGTAAATAATTTTTATTTTTCCTAATTGCCTTTATATGTATACAAATCTGTTTATTCTCATCGAGATCTATATTTATTATTGCATTTTAGCTATTACTATTTATTAAAAACTTATTTTTGTACAAAAAAAAAGTTCACGGGCTTATTTTTAATAATTGAAGAAAAAAAGGAATAATGTAAATACATTTTCTTCAAGAAAAAATCTACCAATGGTTTTTTTTTTTTTTTTAATTCAAAATATGCATTTTTTTTTAAACGAAAATTATGGAGAAAGCTAGTGAGATTTTCTCACACATACAAATTAAGCGTGGGTCGATCTTTATTTTTTCACCCCTATTTACTCTTCACTTGATTTTCTCATCTGACAATCAACCTACGCTCTCGCTATAGAAATCGAACCTTCTACCTTCTTCATTTCTAACTTAATTGAAATACAAAGTCAACACTAAATTATTCAATAATTTTACTTTTAAACAACGCAGCATTATTCTATAAAAACAAAATTAAAATTACTATAAGAAATGCAACTTTTTAATTTAGCTTCGAAGGAAAGTTTTTTCACAAAAACAATTAGAGAAAAAATTTATCCTGAATAGCGGGAAAAATAGAAGATTAATTTTTAGAAATTTAAAAACTTTTTTAACACTAAATACAGTCAAGAAATAAGAAGTCAGATAAAAAACGAGACTTTAGAAAAACATTTTCTAAGTTTTAATTGGAGATTTAAAATAGTTTTCATAAAGAAGATCTTTTATGAAAAAAAAAAAAAAAAAGAAATCGAAAAATTCTTAAAGAAAATTATATTTTTTAAAATAAAAGAAAAACACCTTGAAAAATTGTAAGAAACGACCGTGGTTTGTTGCAATTTATATAGTATAAAGTTGAATATACAAGTTTTTAATGTAAATAAATGGCCCTGAATATATATACATCTATATATATTTATTTTAAAACAAAACAGAAAAATTAAAACTTGGATGAAATAAGTGTTGGTATCGCGTGACGTTACTGAACACTACCAACGTAATACGGCCTATCTTTCGTTTACGGTGAAATGGCATAGAGAGAAAGGGATTTAATCGCCCATGCGTGCTACCATTCTAAAGTTAATACATTTTATCGTAGACAGTATTCACGTACTTATTATGGCATTTGGATGGTCAGTTAATCCGATTACAACTAGGTCAAAAAAGAATTCATTAACTGGATTTATATATAAATAAACTTTTTAAATTAAAAAAATAGTAAAAAAACAGGTTTAAAAACACAAAATTTAAAAACTAGACTTAGATTATAAAAAGGGGAATCGAGAAAAAAAAAAAAAACTTTGGATAAGTTGACGTAAAAATGTTCGATTTTTCTAAAATTAGAAAATTTTCTTTAGAACGAGACTCATTGATTGACCCATTTTTTTTTCCCTACTAAATATGTAATTCAGATTTATTATTAATTTAATTACTATTGATTATTATTATTAGATAATTCAATAATTGTTATAATTGGAAATTCCTAATTAATAATAACAGAGGAACTTTATGCTTGAAAAAATTTTACTCTTATCTGCAGTCATACTTAAATTATTTTTTAAAAACATTTATTTTTAAAAATATTTACTGCAAAATTGGATTATGCGCTGTTTTAAATTTTATTATATAATAAATTAAAGCTTTATTAAAACATAATTTAGAATATGAAAATGCATTAAAATTTTAATACTTCAGCAAATTGAAAATATTCTTCTTTGTTAAATAATAAATTTTAATTAAAATTTGTTAACAATAAAAATTATGCTTTAATGCTCAAGCATAAAGTTCATATCTCTCTCTCTATTAATTAATTTTGTTCAAACAGTATAATTTAACTGTAAAATAATAATAATGATGTCCCTTTGAGAAATACAATTATTATTATTTTTACTAACTGTTTGAAAATATCATTATAATTTTATTTTTTTAAAAAAATTCTTAATTAATAACAATCAAATGATAAATAAATTAATGAAGTTAAAAATATAATAATATATAAATTGTAGACAAATATTAAAAGATCTGATGACATTTTAACAAAAATATAATGTGGGTGCGAAAAACAAGATTCAACAGTTGTGACCTTTTTGAATAATAATGAGGATCAATCGCAATTATTCATCTCTATATAGAATCAAAACAAATGCTTTGAAAATGAAACAACATTTTATTATACCAAAGCTTTTGAAATAGGTTCACCACACATTTATCGGAGCTTCAGTAATTAAACATAATTGCTACCCTCTCTATTTTATAACAAGATCGATAATATATATGTTGACTGTAAATAAAGATCACCAGATGCAAAATAACTCTATATGTATTTAATTTCGAAGACAAGAAAATATATACCAGTAAAACAACAATAGAAAAAAAGAAACACTGATTACAGAAATTAATTCAGATCAAGGATGCAATTTGTGCTTATATTTGTTCCTTAAGAAATTCAATTTCCTAGTTTAAATTGTTTCAGAATTCTATTTGCGTCAGAGAATTCGAATCAAGAACAAAGTTCTTTATTTACAATCCATAATTATAATTAATTATTAAATTAATTATAATTTCCATTAAATATATTATGTTTCAAAATTTAAATAATTATTTTCTATAATATATATATATTGTTGAAGAAACAATGTATAAAAATATTTGTAAACGTGTACAGCATGTTATTTTACTCTAATTCTGATATTCAGATCACATTGCTTCCTTGAGGGTATTTATCTTTCTACTAAAACATAAAATTTTCTCTTTAACATTTTACTATTCAGTATACTGCACAAATAATGCTATAAAAATCTTTTTTGTTTTCTCTACTAAAAAATAGAAAATAATAATATCACAGAAAATTAAAAGGTATTAAAATAAGCTGCAACGCTTATTATTTTAATACCAAAACGGATTAAAATAAGCAAAATTGGATTAAAATAATAAGCGTTGCAGCTTATTTTAATGCCTTTTAATTTTCTGTGTATTTTTTAGCTACTATTTTACTTGAATTGCACATAGAAAACTAGTCGGTCAGATCTAAAAAAAAAAATTTAATTTGTAAATTTTTAAAAAAGAATTTTTTTCCTCGCACTAATTTTTTTTTGTAAATTAAAAAAAGAAGAAAAACTTCTTTCTTTTTAATTGTTATTACGGTATTTTTCAACTTTTATGTAAAATCACCTGGAACATTCATTTTCATGAAGAATATGCGAATAAGTATTCTGAAGTTTGCATAGAAAAAGATTCATTTTTTTTTTTTTTTTTTAGGTCATTTAAATGTAGATAGAAGGAAAGAGAGAAAGAAAAAATACATAATAATTAGATAACCTAATCAGGTGGATATCAAATTAAAACATGATGTTTTATTCATTAATATTTACCATATTATTTAATATTCTCATATGCATTCTTTTATTGTTTGATTTTTTAATGCGCATTAGTCATTTGAAGTGCAAATATTTTTTTCTTTTTTAATTTCAATAACTCGGAGAAAAAAGAATTGTTAAAACTATTAAATAAATATTTATTTCTTTCTAATAAATTTTATTTGTATCAAAAACAAAATTCTATTTGTAACAAAAAAATTATATTTGTAACAAAAAAATTATATTTGTAACAAAGAAAATTATATTTAATTAATCTAAATAAAAATTTAATTTGCTCCAAATTAAATTTTCTATTTCTAACAAATAAAAATTTTTTTTTGCTCCAAATTAAATTTTATATTTATAACAAATAAAAACTTATTAAGCAAATATATTTTTATTTGTATAAAATAAATTTTATTTGATTTAGATAAATTTTTTTTTTTTCTCAAAATTAAATTTTTTATTTAAAACAAAATGTTATTAGGCTCTGAGAAAAAGTATCTTTTTATTTGATTCAAATAAATTTAATTCATCTCAAATTATGGAAAATAAAGATATATTTTTAAAATTCAATTAAATATTTTTTACCATAATAATAAATTGATTCCATATATAAAATTCAGCTTTAATCCTTTTAATCAATTGAAAAAAAGAGTTTATTCAAGTTTATTATAATTTCTATATAAAGAAGAAAAAACGTTTTAGAACTTTAATTAACAAAGTTGAAATACATTTTTCAAATTAGAGGTTTTTTTTTCTCCTATATGTTATAAGGAAGTAAATTTTCCACAAGAATAAAGTTTACTGTGCTTAGACCAGTTTACAGAGTGAGCTTGTTTTCTTTGCAAGCTTTTTACAAGCTACAGTTATTTCTATATGTAGAAGGTTCTTTTCATCAAAGAGAGTTTTCTCGCGCATGTATATTAGCAAAGAACAAAAATAAAAGGACTTTTTATATCTGCAATTTTTTTTTAAAAAAAAGGAAATTTATTTTTGAAAAATGCATTTTAACATTTCAAAACCCAATAATAATTTTTAAATCCCAAAGTACAATTTTTTAAAATAAAACCCTTTTTCTCTATTTAAAAAAAATTTTTTAAAAAACTCATAAATAAAAATAATTCCCTTGGAAATTATAACAAAAACTTTTTAAATAAAGTATTAATTTAATTAATTCTACTATTTTTAAATAAAAGAATGAATATTTTTTTAAAATTTTGAATTACTTTAAAAAAAATTCTCTCTTTCTCTCTCTCTCTCTCTCTCTCTCTCTCCGTATGGAATAAAAATTTCAAAAGTGTGAAATTTCTTTTTTGTTTTGAATCAGAGGCGAAATAAATCCAAGTTAATACTGAAGTGTTTTATATTCGTATTTAGGGTTGTTGGTAGAATATGAATGAGAGTGGCAAAACGTAAGACGAGAACCAGGTAAAATCTAACCACGCAGGTTGCACGAAAATAGGTGGACGCATGCGTATATTTGCACTTGTATGTATGGCTACCAAAACCGCGTAGGAGTGCGCAACTATTTGTGACGTTCAGTTCCTTCTGAACATTTCGCGATAGACTTGTTGAGCTTCGGGTATTTGAAAATTTTAATATAGAAATTCTAATATTTCATTTAACACGAGACTAAAACAAAAACAACAACAAAAAAAAATCTCATTTATAAACACTTGAAAAAAAAAAAAGTTTGAAGATTTGACTGAGGCGCGAGCGAGAAATGTAAGTGTTCAATGTCTCTGCAGTAACATCCCCCGTGTATCATCGATTTCCGGGCCAAGAGCATGCAAGAACAATTACCATTTCGTAACTCCAAAATTTTTACTCAAAAAAAAAAAAAATATTCTATTTTATAATTTTTGAAATATTTTAAATTAAAATTTTGAAAAAAATTTTAATTCTACTTTTTTTAATTACTAAAAATTAAAATTTTTTTAATCAAGTGGTTGCCAAATAAAACTATATTTTTCAGGAAAATATTAATATTTTTTTTTTCAAAAAGCCCTATTTTCCAAATAAGAATTTTTTTTTTTTTGAAATAAAAAAGAAGCGAAGAGAAAAATAAATTTAAATATATTTAGAAAATAAGTTAAAATATTCAAAGCAAAGGGGTTGTTACGGTTTTCAACATTTTAAAATTTCATGACATTTCCCCTGATAAAAATTTCATATGAGAAAAATTTATTTGAAGAAAATAAAATTCAAATTTAAAAAAAACAATTCAAATTAAAAATAAATCCACAGTAAAAAATGAAATATACAATATTGTACTTTTTTTTCTTTAATCTACGAGATCTTTAGAAAAGAAGATTTTATCTTAATCGTACTTGGAATTTAATTAAAATGCACATGTTAAAATTAAAAATAAATTTATGTTTCGTTTTAAAAAAATTTAAATATCTATTTTTTTAATATAATTGTTTATTATAATTTTAATTTATTTATTGTTTCTTATATCAAAAAAAAAAAAAAAAAATTAAGAAAATTATTTTTAAAAAAAATTTATTTTTAAAAAATCATTAATGTAAATGTAATTACAGATTTAATTTCCAATTAAAATTACGATGCAACGATGTAAATAAATAATGTGCACTGGTCCACTTTTGAACATTTGACCTACATTAAGTTTTAACTATACTATTTTAATAATTATTTTAAAGTTCAAAATTTTAATTAATTTAGAATTAAATACTTTTTAAAATGTAATTATTTAATTTCAGACTAAAATAAAATTTTCTTTTCACTATTGATTTTACACTAAAAAAAAATTTTTTTTATTTAATTCAAATTACTTGAGTATTATCAAATATTTACTTGAACCAATTAATTTTTATTTGAAATAAATAAATTGTATTTTGAACCGCAATAATTTCTGTATTTAAAACAAATACCATTTTAATTGATTCAAATAATAATTATTTGATATACAAATAAATATTTATTTGATAATAGTCAAGTATTTGTATCAAATAAATTTGTGAAAATAATAAATAATTTTATTGAAATAATAGAATGTTAGAAAAATTTGGATAAATATTCGATTAAAATTTTTTGATTTTGATTTCTAATTTTTTAGAGCGTCCGCGTTGAGAAAAAACTATTTTAAAAAAGTGTTTTAAAGAATTGCGGAAAAAAATGAAGACACATACAGGAATTATTTTTGCTATCGTATTCGTTACGACATGCAGCATATACACAGAAGTTGAAGGTTGGGGAGGTCTTTTTAATCGTTTTAGTCCCGAAATGCTCTCAAATCTTGGATATGGCAGTCATGGCGGATATCAGGGCAAATCGTCATATCTCCAGGTAAATTAAATATCAAAACCAATTTTCTTAGCGAAATTAATTTCGCTAAACGAGAAGAAATATATATATCAACAAAATTCAATTCCATGGCGAAAATTTTCCAAAAATATATCAATTAGTAAAAAATCAATCAAAAAATTAAATAAAAATTTTGTTTTAGTTTAGTTTAATTTAATTTAATATTTTTAAATGAAAATATAAATAAATTTTAAATATTTTCAGAAAAATTATAATTATATAAAATTTTAACTTAACAAATTAAATTTTTATTTAAATTTTAGTTATCGATTTTTCACTAATATACAAATTTTATAAGTAAAACTTGAAGATAATATTCATTCAAAAGAAATATGATTACGCTTTAAATTTCCTATTTCAATGTCTATTAATTTCCTATATATTCAATCGAGGATTTAAAAAGATGACAAATTTTATGAGAAATATTATTTTTCCTAAATCGAATTTTACAGTGAAATGGAATTTTCTAAAGACAAATAATTTATATTATATTTAATTAAATTTTATTTTATAAAATTAATATTAAATTTAATTTAATTAAATCTAAATCTATGCAAAATCTTTGTATTTAACACAATGAAGAAAAATTTGATTCAAATAATTGATTATCAAATAATTGTAGTAAATAATTATTAATTAAATGATATTTATTTCAAATACAGAAATAATTGGTGTAAATAATTATTTAATTCAAATAAAAATTATTTCATTCAAGTAAATATTTATTAGTTAAAATTATTTGAATCAAATAAATTTTTTTTATTTTCATTTAACAAAATTTCTGTTAACTAATTTTTTAAATCTCTACAACTTATTCATTTGTTTGAAAAATATTATTAGAAAAAAATTTCGCCGTTTTTAAAATTGATTAATCACAATTTTATTATTGATATTTTAAAATCCGCGGAGAAATATTTCTGCTCGTTCGGAAAAATGAAATAAATATAAAAATTCTGTTAAATGCAAATTTTTCTCAAATAAAAATTTTATTATATATTTTAGATTATATTGATAAATAAAATTTTGTTTAAATACATTTTTTTTATATGAAAATTCCTTGTTTTTTTTTTCTCAACTTTCTCTATAGGAAAAATGTAGAAAAATACATTTTTCCAATTGTCTAATTTTTCTGAGTACTTTCATTTTTAATAACAACGAAGAAATTATATTTTCATGAGTCAATTTTCATCACAATTATATTAAAGGCCATATGTAGTGTATGTTCTTGAATAACGATAATGGATTACAAGAAGCACTTAAATATTAAAACATTGATAGCAAACACACACACACACACATAAAAGAAAGTTTATGGTTCCACAAAAATGTAATTTTTTTTCACGCCTAACCGAGAAAATGAAAATTAAAAAAAAAAAGAAAATTCCCACTAAAACTTGTAAGAAGAAATAATTAATTTAATTATGAAACTCTCTCTGCTACCTATAAGCACATTAATCAGTCAATCGCTTTATTTCAAAATTAGATTGCCAACAATGAAAATTACAAATACTAAAGCACTTTATGAATATTGCTTACGTCATAGTATGTGTATGTGAGTGTAAATGTATATCGATTTCTTATGTCAATGTATATATAAAGGAACAAGCTTCATGTATATTTAGGATTTGTTTTCATAAATTAACTAAAGGGGTTTTCTCAACCGAGATTATTATCTATAAACATTGATTTTAATCATTTTACTGAAAATTTATTTAAGCGATCTGGACTATCGGAAGGATTTACTGGTAATTCTCTAGAGGAATCAGCTGATGAACCATGTTATGGAAGAAGATGTTCAGCCAATGAACATTGTTGCCCTGGTTCTATATGTGTCGACATGGACGGAAGTAATTATTTATTAAAAAAAAAAAATGGATCGCGTGATCTTAAAAAAAAAGACTGATTTACTAATTAAATGACCGGGAGTTTTTTTTTTATTTTCTAGTAAAACTTTTTTATCATTATATCAATACCAAGAATATTTTTTTTTTAATATAAAATATTATTTTTTTAATATATGAAAAAAAAACCTTTTTTACAACGCAATATTTCACTAATTAACAAATTATCAAATTTTCATAAATTACGGTGTAGCTAAATTGAAATATAAAAAAAAATGCAATTTATTATTTTCCTGTTTAGAATTTATTTGTATATTTATATTAATTGTTAATATTTTTAATGAATTAATTAAATTTAAAATTAAAGAAAAAATAATTTTCGTCAATAGTAATTAAATTATTTTGGAAAATTATTTTTTTTTTTTTTAGTGAACACTGAAAAGTAAATCAATCTTTTTTTTTTGGTAATAATATATTTTAATGCAATTTTTTTTTTTAGTTATCGGATCATGCCTCTTTACGTACGGATTAAAACAGGGTGAACTATGCAGAAGAGACAATGATTGTGAAACTGGACTTATGTGCTCTGAAGTAGCAGGTGGAGAAACACGATCGTGTCAACCACCAGTAAATTCAAATAAACAATACAGTAAGTTTTTTCAAATAATTAATTGAAAGAGGGGTCAGAATTTCTCAAACGGATCACCTAAAATTCAAAAAAAAATTTTTTTTAATCAAAAATCATTTCTTTTGACTCCTTACATGGTAAAAATATGTCCCTGAAATTTTTAGGTCAAAAAAAAATTTTTTTGTTAAAGTTATAAACAATTGAAATTTTTTGCAGTTTTATTTAAAAAAATTTTTTTCTCGACTTCCTGTTCACCAATTAAAAAAAAGGGTTTTTCTCGTCTTAAAATGTAGTTTGTAAATATAATTTTTATTTTGAAAAAATAGATTTTTATATTATTTATTTATAAAATGTTATTAAAAAATAGTGTTCTTGACGTCCTACAGAAAATTAAATTTTTTTTTTTTGAATTCCCCACACAATTAAGAAACCGTTGAGAAAAACAATGAGACTAAAAAAAAAAAAATTCTGAATTTTAGGTGATTCGTTTGAGAAATTCTGACCCAGTAGAGAATTTTTTTTTCGATTTCAATATCAAAAATTTGAAAAAAAAAAAACTTATTTTTTGAAATAAAAATAAAAAATATCTTTCAGGTGAAGAATGTAGTATATCCGGTGAATGCGACATAAGCCGAGGATTATGCTGCCAATTACAACGGCGACATCGGCAATCACCTCGAAAGGTAATTCGAAAAATAATTTACATAATTTAATAATAAAAGAAGAAGCAAAAAAAAAAATAGTTTCGATTTTTTTTTCTTAATAGAAAAAAAAGTGAAATTAAATTCCTCAAGTAAAATGGGTAATATTTTTTTTTTGCAAAAATAATAATCAAATAAAATTTCTAGGTTTGCTCTTATTTTAAAGACCCTCTTGTTTGCATTGGTCTCGTTGCAACCGATCAAATAAAATCAGTAATTCAATATACAGCAGGTGAGAAACGAATCACAGGACAAGGAAATCGTGTATATAAACGAACTCCATTCGTTTAAATTATAAAAAAAAAAAAGAAAATAATAATAATAATCCATACCCTCTTCCCAAAATGCCCATAAAAAAGCTACAAATCAAATCCTATCTACGATTGTAGTCACTAAACTCTTTTAAAATGATAAGTATATAATTAAGTATGCATATATATATATATATACTAAATATCATACATTGATTTTGTTACAATTTTTTTTACATGACCGAAACAGTGGCATGTTAAAAAAAAAAGAAAGTTTAAGAAAAACAAAAGAAAGTTTCAAGAAAAACCAAAAGAGAAAGATAGAAAAGATGAGATATTACAAAAAAAAAAACTAGACTTTAAAGAAATAATTACTCGACTTTAAATCTTTCTCTTTAACGTGACTGAAGAATACAACACATATCAGAGTAGCTTAATACTCCTTAGCAATATAAGTGCATATAGAATAAAAAAAAAAACAAATTTTTAGGGAATTTTCAATTTGTTTCCTTTTTCTAATTTTATATTTTTTAATTACTAATAAAAGTAGTATAATAGAAATGAATTAAAAAAAATTTTTTAATATAAATTAAATTCTTAATATAAAATATAATTTTTATTTTTTATTAATTTAAATAAAAAATTTATTTTCAAATATTTTAATAAATTTGAAATTCCCTGAAAAATTGTTTCTCAAAACAAATTTTATGTAAAGAAATTTATAAATACCATACATATCAATATTTAATTTTATGAAAATTCAAACGTTTGAAGTAAATTAAAAAAAAAAAAAAAATTATTAAATTTAAATATTTAAAAAAATTAATTTTTAAATTTAAATATTTTTCAATAAAATTATTTTTTTTTTTAAACATTATAAAACTTTATTTACTTTTAAGGATTTAATTTTCTTTCGAATAAAATATTTTTGTGTTCAATATATATATTTTTAATATATATAAATATATAATTTAAAAAAAATATATATCAAACGCATATCATAAAGGAGAAAATAAATACTGATAAAAGTTTAAAAAATCCTGATATACTGACGTTCTAGTGTAAAAAAAAAAATTATATATAGAAAAAAAAGCAATTTTTTTTATGCCAGAACAACAGATTATAACAGAATAAAAGAGAAAAAAAAACCGCTTTCTTTTAAATCCATTTTAAAAATAAATTTAGTGACTAGAAAAAATAATTATTTTATCCCCTCAGAAATAGAAATTACTTAACTAAAATAAAATACAACATATTATCCTTTTTTTCAAAATTAAAAAGTTTTTAGTGAATAAATATTTTGATTATATAAAATCACAAGAATTTTTTCACTAAATATAATATCAGAAAAAAATTCCTCAACAAAAAAAAGAAGTAAATTCAAAGTAGTCTATATAAAGAGAGGCATAATGCTAAATGCCTTTATATTTATGAAAGACCTAAGTATATTTAATTATATCTACTCATAATAAGTATATACTTCTATTCTCAATGTTATCAAAAATATAAATTTTGGTTCCTTGTTCAAAAAGATGGCAGCTAATTATTATTTTATTATTTATTTTTATTTATATAAAAAAAAATTTGTTTAAAACTATTATTTAAAATAATTAAAAAAGATTATAAAAATATTTATTTTTAAAACGATTTAAAAAAAAAAGTACAAATTATAAAAAATAAAAATTCCAATAAGTTGCCATCTTTCTGACAGAGATTTTTATAGTTATAAAAAAAAATATAATTATATATGCGCTAAGAGAAAATAATGAAGACATATCATAAAAAAAATGCCTAATAAGCATTCATAAATTATGGGATTTAAGAGAATAATAAATAATTAGAAAATATAAAAAAGAGCGCGAAACTCTAATATCTCCCTGATTAAAAGTTAATTAATGTACAATCGTCTGCAAAATAGTCAAAAAAACAAAAAAAAAAACAAAAAAAAATTATATAAATGCCTAAAATGCATTTGGAAAGTTTTAATGTAGGCTACGAAAGTTACCCAGCGAAATGATATTCTATTTAAAATTATATTTTTATCTTATATATTACTTACACACATAAATGTGCGCTACACTTATAAGCTTTACATATATATATATATATACAATATTTAAAAATTACTCGTATATTTTCTCGAAACGTATATAAAAAAGAATATTTATCTTTGTATTGACTTATTGTCAAACATAGGTATATATTTTACCTTAACTTTGACAGTTTGTCTTCCTTTAATTAAATTTATATATACCTATATGTATAAAACTTAAAAAAAAAAAATTTTTTGTGAATATTTTTAATCTACTTTATATTAAAAAAGAATATTTAAAATTTTTTTTAATATTCCTATTGTCAGATCAAATCTTTTAAATTAACTTTTTTTTTTATTATTATTCTATAAAAAAAATGTACGTAAAATGGATACGTACCCGTCCATAAAAATACATATCATAGATAATACAACTATTATAATTTAAAAAAAAAATTAATTAATAATTTAATTACAGAGAAAACAAAATATAAAAATGAAAATTCATTTTTCTTTTTAATATAAAACTTATAAGTGATTTATGTATAAGAGAAAAATACTTATGTTATTAATTAATTATTATAATTATTATAATTATAATAATTATAATAATAATAATATTAAAAAAATGAAAGTTTAACATTTAAAACATTTGTTTATTAATGTTTACTGCTTATTTAATAACTATTCTGTAAGACTTTCCAATATACATATATATATATAAGACTCTCAGAAAATAATTGGAATTTTTACAAACTTTAAATAACAGGAAAATTATTTTTTTAAAAGGAGATAATTGGTTCAACTGATTAAATCGCACAAATTGTAATATTCCTGTGTATAACTAGAACTTTCTGCATCAAAATTATATTAAGTTTTAATTAATTTAAAAAAAAAATTATATTTATCTAATTAAATTAATAATAAATTTAATTTAATTAAGTAAATTGATAATTTAATTAAAATTAATATTTGTATTAAAAATTTATTATCTAAGTTAAGTATTTAAAAAAAAATTTTATAAAATAATAATTTTTTAATTATTTTGATATTTGTAATTAATTTTATTTTTATATACGTTTAACGATGCTGGATGTGTATTGTGATAAATTATTATAGTTACGAGATAAAATGATACAGATTTTCGGCCAGTTGGCTAATATGAGTCAAAAAGTACCTCTAACAGATAAAAATTCCAATGCTATTTAATTATACATATCTGTAAATTACACATGTGTCTGACTAAAATGTGTATGTGTAAACATTCACGAATGTAATTAAAAAAAAAAAAAACAAAATAATAATAATTTCAAGATATAGTTGACCGTGAATTAAATTATAATCGTGCATCTGAAGGAATGCAAAAAAAACAATGGTTTTTTTCTTTTTCCTATCCCCAACTTTCTAATCCTATTTGTTTCTAATTTTTAAATAAATTAAATTTTTTAAAATTCAATAATTTGTTAATTTAAAAAAATTTTATTTTCATATACGATAAAATCCATGAGAATAAAATTATAAATCAGTTGTGGAAATAAAGGAGAAAATTCCATAGTGACAAAGTGATTAAATTTATTAAAAGCCAATTATTCGAAAAATAATTGTCTTTTAATAGAAGAGAAAATTTGCACAGTACCTTTTACCTGAAAGAAAAAATTATTAATACCCTTAATTTAATATTCTTTAATGAAACTTGTTACTTGTTATCAGTTAATTACGTTAATAAAAAAGTAAATTTAAAAAAAACAAGATATAAAAAAGATTGGAAAATTAAATTTTGGAAATAAATTTAAAATATAATTTTTTTGTCAAAATAATTAAGAAATAATTTTATAATTTTTTTTTTTGGTATGATAAGAATATGAATTTTTATAATTAAAAAATGTATAGCAAACAAAATATAATACCTAACTCTAAGAAACACATAATTATACAACAAGAATTCACTTTCCAATTGAAAAAATATATAATATAAATTTAATTTAATAATTAATTAATTAATTTAATTTAATTTAATATTAATTAAATATTAATTTAATATTATTTCAATTGGCAGTCACTAGGAAATTTTCTAAATATATTACAACTTGACTCCGCCACAACACTATGGAGATCAAGAGGGACTTACCAATTCGTTGATCCTTTTGCTCCTGTTCCTCATCTCTTCTCCATAAACCAATTTTCCAACGATGGGGAATTACTCAGTTGAAAATTGAAGACGCACCATAAGAAATCCCTTCCAGTAATCCAAAAAGTGATGAAGCGATGACGAAAACATCCACAGGAATAACACTTGTTCCACACACTTAATTTCATATTTCCCTGCAAGCAAAAAATGAATAAATATTTCGTTTTTAATTAGAAATAATAATCATAAATTATAAAAAAAGATTCATTTTTTTGACAAAATTTGGTAAAATTAAAATTAAAATCAGAAATAAATCACACAGTAATAATAGTTTTCGATAATGTCCACATTTTGGTCTTCCTTTCTTCTTTTATATTAGCAAAAAGATTTGTTAATTATATTCTCTTTTGCTCATAATAAAAAATTATCTTCTTTTTTGAGAGACATTATAAAATTGCATATTGCAATCACGTTATAATGTTATAAAACGAAAAATTTAAACGCCATATTACAATCACATATCAATTCTAACCTAAAAAATTAACTTCAAAATGTTGAGATAATTTTATTATTCTAATTTATTTATTTCGTTAATAATTTTATTCTTTTATATATCAAAATCGAAAACCGAGAAACTTTAAAACATTTTTAATAATAATCATAAAAATTCTAACCTGAAATTGAAGAAAATATTGTAAATTTGTCGTCGCAATTGGAAACATAATAATATAATAAAAAGAAGTCGAATCGTGTATAATAACACAAAAAACAAAAATTCACTATATCATTCCAAAATATAAATCACAAATTGTCTGGAAATTACTCTTATAACAATGAAAAACACTAAGAACTTCACTTACACCGGTTTTCAATTTCTAAGGACAATGTACAATCGCCGCCATCTTGAAAAAAATGGCGTTTTCAGAAATAAACCCAACGCGACAAATTCTCAAATTAAAAATTGTAATCTACATTTAATGTCAATATAAAAGCATAAATAATACTTTAATTGAAAAAGAATAAGATTATTTCGACTATTATATCTAATAAACGCAAATTATGACATGCAAAAAAGCTTACCAAAAAATCGAGAAATGACACGATTTTCACATATTTCGATCACAATTATTTATCAAATACAATGTTTTTCAAAAAAAATATATTGTCCTTCTACTGAAGAAAGCAATGAGAAAAAAAAATAATTAAAAAACTCACCATAATCAGAAGAAAAAAGGAAAACAAGAAGCCCCAACGACACCAACTGCCAAAATTTTTCCACAGGAGGAGAATGAGTAAAATAGAAATTCTCTGATTGGCTGAAAAGCATTGCTGGCGGGAAAATGAATCGTCCACTGCTGCCCTCTTACGCCGGTGAAATAAAATTCCCTACTGATTTCCCCTATTTTATCGACTAAAACTCTCATTCCTATTGGTCATCTGAAACAAGCGGGAAAAATATTCAAATTTAAAAATAATAAATTTTTAAACAGAATTTCATTATTTTATAATAATAAAAAAATTAATTACATGAAACAATAAAATAAATTTTAAAAAAAGAGAAATAAAATATAATTATCGTATAAATAGAAAATTATAGAATTAAAAAAACAAATTTATTGATGGGAAAATTAAAAACAAGCATATGAAAATTGTTCTTTTTTTTTTATTTGTGTGTGTTGTGTGTGTATAGATAATATATATAATTTCTTATATTAAAATTGTATAAAGAAAAGTCATACATTCCCTTGGGAAGTTATGTTAATGAAACATAAGCTTTAAAAAAAAAAAAATCTTACAATTATAAAAAGACATTCGTTTAGTTCGTAAAAAAGTATAAATACACGTGAACTCGCGAGGTATTGTGCGGAGTCAAGAAAGGCACAAAACTTTGAGGCAAGTTAAATGAGTCGAAGCTCATTATTTGTATCTTAATTATAATATATCTGAGATTACAGTGCATTTTTGTGAACAATATATTACACATCTAAAAAGTGTGCCTTTAGAATTAAAAAAAAAGTGTTATTGGCACAAGTTCAATTAAACAACAAGAACTTCAGTCGATTAGATAAAAATCCAAAAAGCAATTTACAAAATAGAAATTAATTTTAATTAATTTTTTTTAAATACCTTATTATTTATGAGCTTTTAGTTATTAAATTGCATTTTACTTCTCTTATTTTGTACTTTAAAAAGAGAGTGACAATTTTTTTTTTTTTTTTTTTGTAAAAAAATCATTCAAGTTTGTTTTGTTTTGCAGTCTTTGCATTATAAAAACAAGAAAATGTATTTTTTTTTTTACAAAAATTAATAATGAAAATTATTATTCAAACTTGTTGATTTTTAACTTAAAAGTCCACAATTACTTAGATTATTTTTAATTATAACATCGGTCACAGCGTCGAAGACAAATTGAATATTATTGGTATCAGTGGCGCATGTAAAATGCGTATAAATTTGTTTTTGATCTTTTCTCTTATTGAGATTTTCAAATTTCATTTGAATATAAGATGCACATTCTTCAAATGTATTGCGACCTTTATATTCAGGAAAACATATTGTTAATGGGCTCCTTAATATTTTCTCTTCAAAAAGATCTTTTTTATTCAAAAATAATATTATCGATGTGTCAACAAAATATTTATTATTGCATATTGAATCAAAAAGTTTCATTGATTCAATCATTCTATTCATTTCTTCATCTTCAGCTAGAAGTAAATCATAACCACTAAGAGCAACACAAAATATTATTGCCGTTACACCTTCAAAACAGTGAATCCATTTTTTTCTTTCTGATCTCTGACCACCGACATCGAACATTCTGAAAAAAATTATTTGAATATTTTAATTGACAATAAAAAAAAAACATAATCATGTTAAAATTAAAAATATTTGTGTACATACTTGAAATGTAGTCCCTTAAATGAAAAATGTGTTTCCACAATTCCGGTTGTTTTAACTCTCGTTCTTAAAACATCTTGTTGTGTTGGAAGATAACTGGGTTGAGAAATACGTTCTAAAGCATTTAGATAATAAGCTGCCGAATCATTGAGCTGATATTCTCTGCTTCGTGTAAAACAAAGTTGCACTCCTGAGTCTAGCCAAAGTTTTCTCATTACCATAACCAAATCCGGTGACAATTCCCCTTCCTCTGCTGCTGATGCTAATATGAAAAATTGTCTCGCTGTTTCCTATAAACATAAAAATCTATTTAATACATTCTTTACATAAAAATAAATAATTATTATCACTTTTTTTTTTTTTTTAATTAAATTTTTACAAAATACCTTTTTACTAGGATCAGCGAAATCGATTCTAAGTAGTCCCATGGCTCTTATTATTGCCATGAGACTTTGAATTGTATTACTATAAACAACAGGCCTGTATTGTTCACATTCTTCTCTACTGTAACCAGTCTCATGAATTATTTTCATCTGTTTTACTATTGTCGATTTTCCAGATTCTCCAGCTCCTATTAATTTAGACAAAAAAAAAAGAAACGGTTATTACAATAAAATCAAAATAAAAGATCTAAAATGTGATTTTACATAATGGAAAATAATGAGAAATATCTTAATTATCAATGCCAATAAAAAGAAATTAACAAAAGGAACTTATGAAACTCATGAGGTCTATTATGAATCATCGACATGTCTTCTAAATCATTATAATTGCAATCTTAATTGTTGAACTAATTTATAGTTTTAGTTTTCATTTACTTGTTACCTTTAATATTTTATTCATAATTACATTTTTCCTTTTTCTAAAATCAAAATTTATCTTTTAAAAAAAAAAACGTGTTTATTTTTTCAAAATAAACTATTTCTCCTCTGACTGTACAAAATCACATGTGTGAATCATATTTGAAGGATGAATTATTTTTTTTTTTAATCAACTTTCGATGATTCAACGTTGATTTTTAATACAATATTTCATTTGAGAAATAAACGAAAATGGTATTTAAAAGAAACACATTCCCACACTATTGTTCAACAGTGCTACTTTTCAATTTCCCATATACTCACATTATTAATTGCTAATCGAATTTAGAAACCGTTAATGAAAATAAAAATAAATAGCTTCCAAATGAGTTTCATTCCATTCATTTAATTACGTTTCACAACGTATAAGAGAGTAATTGTTTTTTTCCAAATTGACATTCAGGCACCACTCAAGTGAGTAAAATGTAGAGAAAAAAAAGGAGATTACCGAGTAGCAGGAGCTTGACCTCACTGGCTGCGCGTTCTCCATCAGCTCTCAGATCCTTGTCTATTTTCTTGGATCTTTCAGCTGCTTCTTTTTCACCGGTGGTGCTTACAGCGCACCCCATATTTCCGAAAATTTGCCAACCAACAATAATTCTGATATTTCACCGTTAAATGACACTTGTTGCACTGGGACGTGTGGGAACCGCCCGCTGTTAAACCGTCCGTTTCACTCTCGCACTGCTTCAACTATATGCATTCCCATACACTGCACTAAAAACATCCATGTAACTTGGGACAAAACTATAGCCGTTGAAATTCAACACTTTACCTTTAGATATTTCAATGATCATGTGAATTCACAATTTTATTGATAATAAACTAATTGTGTTTTTGTTTTATAGCATGCGTTTGACGGTTTTCACATTCGAAGCCAAGACGCGCCCACACAATTTACTTTTTTCTGATTTCAATTGGCGTCGCGCCGACGCTGTCGTTCTTGCACAAGAGCGTGTGTTCCAACGTTTATTGAGAACACGAAATAACACGAAATGAAAATTAAGGAAACGAATTGCCTTCGGAAATTTTCGGCTTTAATTTTCAACTAATTCGCATGCGTAAAGTTTTCAAACAACCAATGATAGTTGAGATTTATATGAATTTTGAGGTTAGGTTACTCACATTAAAACACTTGTGCGCAATCTCAATAGTTGGACATGCGCAAATTATTAGCGGGAAATACAAAACAAGTTTAAAAATTTATTAAAGTTAAAAAAAGAACTATTTACTATTTTTAAAATCTTCTTTTTTTAACATTATATTGTATTATTTAATTTAAAACATAAATATTAACAGTGAGAAGAAGAAAAAAATTTTGCAAGAGAAAACAAATTTTTTTGTAAAATATAATTTTTAAAAATCAAGTATTTTGTTATTTGCATTTACTTTGAAAAATTTCTTTTAAAATAATTTATTGTAATGAATATTTAGTGTTTAAACGATAAATTCTCGAGTGTTCTAATTTCATTCAATTGCTTGAGTCATTAAACTCAACTATTTTTATAAACCATTCTAATGGAGCTAAATTAATACCATCACTCCTCACACCTTACGTCCGTGTATGAGATATAATTTCATAAATATTTTTTTTTTACTGAAAATTACATAATAAAATTATTTTATAATTTTTATTTACCTTTACACTTAATTGAAAACTATTAATAATTAATCGTTATAAATAAAAAATTATTATTATTACTAATATAGAATAATAATGATAATAAAATATTAAGGGAATTTTAACTTAAAAGGGGATTTCAAAAAAATAAAAATCTATCTGAAATTATTAATTGATAAACGCTTATCAAATCTAAAGTGACAGAAGTTGATAAAAAATAAAAAACAACAATCTTGCAAACAGTACTGATAACATTAAGAAACGAAAAATCTAAGAGTGCGCATGATCAATGTTCCAGTGTTGCCAATCCAAAACAATTTTAAAATATCAACATAACCTAAAATCTAATTTATTTTGATTTTAAAGATTTCGGTAATATTTTAAATGTATATATAATTAACCACTATAAATAATGAAAATTAATAAAATGAAAGTCTTAATAAGTTTATAATTTTAATTAATTTAATAGTTTTTAAATTTTAACACAGAAAATTAACTCACCAATTAGCGTCTGGATTTTTCTGTTTCAAAATTTGAAATTCACCAATCAAAACATGTAGATTCAAATAGTTGTTGCTGTCACATTTTATTTATTTATTTTGTTAAATTTCAGAAATAGAAACGGGGAAATTTACATTATATAATTAAATGCAGTTTAGAAAATATCTATAAATGAACAATTTTATATTTATAATTAACAGGATAATTAATTATTTATTAACTTTTGTTTTGAAAAAAAGACGCGCAAGCGCTGTCATAGCAACAGCAGACGACAAATATTTTTCCGTTATGCACGTTTTGTGTTTGCAAGTCTCGACAAGTTGTTTATTCTCCATTACATTATTCTTTTGTGATTCTTTACCGGATTTATTTTGATAAATTACGTATATTCGAAAGTAATAAACATATTTCATTGTAGAGAAAGTTTTATTAATTTGTGTTTTATTTAGAGAATGTGATTAATCTCCATCTTTAGGATACTATTTTGTGAATAATGAACCTTTGATTTGGTATTATTTTGAACACTGTTAGAAGAATAATAATAATATTAAATACAATATATAAACTATTCATTAAACCATGAATAAGTGGCGGGATAATTCACGAAATTCGGATATATTAGTTGTGTCAGATTCTGATGATGAAGTTCCAGGTTCGCTTGAAGTGAGCAAATCATCATATTCCACACCAAAATCACTTACTTATTTGCAAAAAAGGTTTGTTATTATAATTATTTTAATTTCTATTTATAAGAATAAATTTAGTAGATTAAAGATATTATTGTTTAAAAGAAAAACTTATTAAGAACTATTTTTCTTTTTATTTAAGAGGGTTTTGATTTTTTTTTTTTTCATTCAGAAAACCACCGACAAGTCCAACTGTTATAGAAGCTACAGATAGTGAAGACGAGGAGGATGACCTTGAAAATACTTATGAATCAGATAAGGATGACAATACAATCAATGAATCAGGTAATTGAAAAATTAACCTTGTCTCTATTTTAAAGTCAAAAGGGAGAATAACAATTTATTTACTCAAGTAAAATATAAATACAACTATTACAGATGCTAATGATAGTCAGAAAATAGATAATGACGATGAAGAGGAGGAAGAGGAAGAAGAAGAAGAAGATCATATTGAAAATAATAATTCTTCAGATGGAAGTGGCGATGAATGGAATGGCGATAAAAAAAAAGATACAGGTAGTTAACAATTTAATTTTTTTCTAATTCAATTAAATACTATATTTTAATTATCTTAAAAATTTTTTTATCAAATGGAAATTTTTGTATAATTTCAATAAATTATTCTTTTCTTTTTTAATCTTTATTGCAGTTAGTAATGTTTTTTTTTGTCAGATAATTCAGATAGTTCCGACGATTTTGATGTGCCAGTAAAAAGAAAGTCAAATAAAACAAAAAAATTTCAAATTCATGATGATTCGTCTGATGAAGAAAATAGTGTTAAACAAAAACCACAAAGAAAATCTGATATTTCCGATGATTCGTTTGATGATGAAAATAGTGTCAAGCAAAAACTGCAAAGAAAATCTGTACATCATGATATTTCCAATGATTCTCCTCCAAGAATTGAGGTAAAAAAAAATCTAAATCATTCTTCAATATTAGAAATTGAAGATTCAATTGAAGAACATTCTGATGAACGTGAACCACGTGAGTATCATTTATTTTTTTGTTCTATAATTTATATTTTTAATTTTATATTTAATTTAAAATTTTTAGTTTCTATCAGCAATAGTAGTGCTCCCGATATTGCTATTTCACTAGCAAAAGGAGAAACTTCAAGTAGTAATATAGATCCTATAGTTGTACAAGAAAAACTTTTAAAAACTCACAAATTGCAAAAATTGCAAAATGATTTATTAAAAGCTAAGGTGGGTAGTTCTTTTTTTTTAACTTAAAATTCTTTTATGAATTGAAAATAATCAAAAAATTAATTGAAAATATTGTTTTTTTTTTATAGAACATTTATCGTAGTGTAAATCGTGATCAACTTCCTGATCGTGGAGAAAAATTACGAATGAGTATTGAAACTTTAAAAGAAGAAATACACAATGTATCTGTTGAATTAGAAAATTATCCAAAATTTGATGACACTGATTTAAGTGTTATTTCAATAAAAGATGAATCGACAAGATCATCACATGGTTCACGTGCCACATCACAAGAGCCAGAATTTATACCATTAGGTGGACAATCAGGTGGACATGAAATGGGTAAAAAGGCAATGGCAACATTTGAACGTGAAAAAGCATTAACCGTTGAAAGAATTGAACATTTACAACAATCGTTAAATCGTTGTCCTGAAGAAAATGAAGAGGCTGAAAATCCACGTGGTTTAAAGACAAAATTAATGCCTCATCAAAAACATGCATTGGCATGGATGCTTTGGCGTGAAAAAGAAAGACCACCAGGTGGTTTATTGGCCGATGATATGGGTTTGGGAAAAACTTTAACAATGATTTCACTTATTGTTGCCACTAAAGATGAATCACATTCTGATTATAGTGAAAGTGATGATGATGAAGGCGATAAATGGTCAAATAATAAAAAATTTGGACGTCCTAAAGGTGGAACACTTGTCATTTGTCCAGCTTCACTTTTAGAACAATGGCAAAATGAAGTGAGTACACGTTGTAAACGTGGTGTTCTGCTCGTTGAACTTTATCATGGTCAAAAACGTGAAATTGTTGCAAAACGTTTAGCACGCAATGATATGGTTATAACAACATATCAATTAGTATCGTCGGAATTTAAAAAAAGTTCTTCAATTCTTTTTAAAATACGTTGGAAACGAATTATTCTCGATGAAGCGCACGTTATTCGTAATCATAGTGGTAAAATTTCCGAAGCAACATGTAATTTATCAGCGCGTAGTCGTTGGGCCTTAACGGGTACACCAATTCAAAATAAAGAACAAGATTTATATGCTCTATTGAAATTTTTACGTGTCACACCATTTAATGATCTTCAAGTATGGAAACGTTGGGTTGATAATAAAAATGCAACGGGACTTAAACGTTTATCAACAGTGACTAAAACATTAATGTTGAGACGTACAAAACAAGAGCTTATTGCAAAAGGTTCTTTGGAAGAGTTACCGGAAAAATTTGTCAATACCATTTCAATTGAATTAGATAATGATGAAACGAAAATATATCAATTGGTTTTAGCATATTCGAGATCACTTTTCGCTCAATTTTTAACACAACGTGCAGAAAAAAATCATTTAATGGAATTGAATGCTGGAAAATTTGATAAACTTGCATATATGAATAATAGTAAGATTTTAATTTTTTAATTTTTTTTTTTTTTTTTTTCAAATTTTAGTGAATTAATGAAAATAATATTTGTTTTACAGTTCCTGACTCGCAATTTGTCGCTGCACAAAAGCAACTTTTTGGACATAGAGGAGAAGAAGTAAAATCTCATCATATTTTAGTTCTTATTCTTCGATTACGTCAACTTTGTTGTCATCCGGGTTTAATAAAAGAAATGTTATCTAAAGATGAAGCTGAAACAAATGGAATGGTAAATGATAATGATGATAATGAACTTGCAAATATAACTGCACAAATTAACAATATGACACTTATTGAAGATGAAGAAAATGAGGAAAATTCTGATGATCAAATATTTTCATCGAAAAATCCAATTTTTAATTTTGATCGAAAAAGTTCTAAGGTAATTTTTTTTCAAATTATTGCTAAAATAAAATTGAATTTAATTTATTGTCATTTTTTTTTTTTTAATTTTAGATTGCAGCTATTATTGAAACTGTCAAGGAAATTTCAAGGAAAAGAGAAAAAATGATAATAGTTTCACAATGGACTGGAATGTTGGAAATAATTGGTGAACATTTGTCAGCAATTGATATTAATCAATGGGAAATGTTTTCTGGAAGTGTTCCAGTGAAAAAAAGACAAGGGATAATCGATAGATTTAATGATCCAGATGATAGTCTTGAAATTTTACTTCTCTCACTTACTGCCGGTGGTGTTGGATTAAATCTCGTTGGTGGTAATAATATTTTACTTGTTGACATTCATTGGAATCCACAATTGGAATCACAAGCTCAAGATCGAGTTTATCGTTTTGGTCAAAAGAAGAATGTTCACATTTACAAGTGAGTATGAAAAAAAAATTATTTTCTATTAAAAAAAAAAAAGGAATTTATAAAAAAAAATTTAATCACGAGTTTTTAAAATGAAAAAAGAAAATTAAAAATGGCAGGTGTATTTTAATAATTCATAAAATCAGCAAATAATTTAAGGACTGGTTTTTTTTTGCAATTTTTAATAATGAACTATTAAAAATTTTTTTTTATAATTTTCTTGAAATATTATAAAAAAATTTTTTTTTAGATTCCTCTGTAAGGATACTATTGAACAGAGAGTAAAAGAGCTTCAAGATAAAAAATTAAATCTTGCTGAGGATATTTTTACAGGACACAGAAGGACATCAAATAAATTGAGCTTGGATGATCTTAAAAACATTTTTGAAATGTGAACTGTAAATTAAATTGTGGCCGGCCACGTAAAACGAATAACGTATGTAATTCATATTTTTATTTTTTTTTTATGCTACTGAACTTTTAATTCTTTTAATATCTAGAGATAAAACGTATATATTTTAAATATAGATATATTTTCTTTTGTAAAAATCTCTACTATAATATAATATACTTGTACATTTAAATTATCTAAAATTACATTTTAATCTTAATTACATTCTTAAAAATCCTTTTTAAAAATAATTATATATAACGTAATTTTCTTTCAAACTTTGTCCGTAAATATGAAAACACTGACTAAAATTGTATTGAAAAAAAAAAATTGCTATTAATAATAACTTAAATAATATTTTAATTACGTAAAAAAAATTGAGCTTGTCTTTGTTAAGCCTATGCGGTATTAAAAACGGTAAACTGGTTTTTTAAAATTTCAATAATTGATCTATCGCACAGGCCTAGTCTTTATAATTTTATTTAAAAAAAAAAAATATCCTAATTGCACCCCAGATCACTGATGTATAATGATTTCGATTAGTTTCGTTTATTTAATTATTTTTTTCTTGATCACGTAAACTTTAGAGAATTTCTCCTTACATCCAGATGAATAGATCTAATTGAATTTCGTTGATTGACAGTAGAAGCTTTACTATTATGAATTCCATAGGAAAAGTAGATAATAAGACCTGTGTAAATAATTCACAATTAAAATAATAGAATTATAAAAATTTTAAATCATATTTTTAAAGTTTTTTTAAAAAAAAGGGTGAAAATTTTTAATAAATTTGTTCAAGTTTATATTTTACAGATATTTTACTTACCAATTGTCATCCAGACTATAAATCGTATCCATGTCATTCCATCTAGCATCATCATTAAATAAACATTAATTAATATACTGAATGCTGGTAAAAATGGCACTAAAGGAACCTTAAATTGAAAAAAAAGGAATTTCAATTAAAAAGTTTATTGGTAAAAATTATTTACCTTAATTATAATGATTACTTACAGAAAAACTGAGCCTTTTTCCAGATACTGGTTGTAAATATATACAAACAAGTATCGCTATCATTGCCAAAATTATAATGATAAATGGCACAAGAATTGTCATTTCGAAATGATAGATATTTCTTGAGAACATCGAGATTAAGGAAGTCAAGCAGACACAAAGAATTACTGTCAACGTAAAAATAAAATTATTTATCTCATACAAATTCAAAGTAATTGATTATTATTCTTATATTATATTACATTTGAAATTTATTATTACTAACTGATAATATTAATTATTAGAAAATTATTATCTAATAAAATTATTTTTATATAATAGAAACATAAATAATAATTCGTAATAAATCAAATATGTTTAAGGATTTACTCACCATAAAGAAAAACGAGCGATGACACAAGGCGAGATGTCAATTTTGTTGCTTGTGTTGTTTTATTAACGTTTATTATCAGTTTTACGATTGAAACAACATTTAGTTGAATGTTATCATTTTTTTTCTCACTCGTTTCACTTTCCTCATATCTATTAAAAAAGATAAATACAAATTTTCAATAAAATTTTTCATAATTGTTTGGAAAAAAAAAAGAATAATTTTGATCAGTTTAGAAAAATTAATAAAAATTTTTATACATTTTAATTAATTGGATATTAATTTTTTAAAAAATTGATATAAATTGTTTTTCTTTTTTTAAGGGGATGTCTTACCGAAGAACAAGAACACAGGCAGCAACAATGGAGTAGGCCAAAAGAGTTCCAATACTCATCATGTTGACTAATTGATGCAATTCAAAAATAGCAGCAAGAGTTCCTGTGAGTAAAATATTTTTTTCATTTTTTAACATTCTTTTTTTTTATGGTAATGGATTCGTAGAGAGAAAAAAATTGCTTACCTGTGAGTAAACCAGCCGAGAATGTCCCCATCATTGGAGTATGAAAGCGTGAATTTACTTTTCCCATCCATTTGAATATGAGTCCATCCGATGCCATTGCGTAAATCACTCGTGGTAATGGATACATTGCACCAAGTAAACTATTTTCAAAAATTTCATCAAACAAATTTCTACTATTCTATATTTATATTGTTAATCAATTTTAATAACGTAAATTAAATTAAATTAAATTATATTTACCTGGCACATAATCCACTTATAGCGCCAATAGATACAAGCCATTTTGCCCATGACCATCCAATTCTATCAAAAAGATATGGGAACGGTGCATCTGGATTTTGTTCATAATATGGTAAAACCATTGTGAGAACAACGGAAACGCCAAAATAAGCAAGAAAAACAACTAAAAGAGATGTGACAATGGCAATTGGTATTGATTTTTGTGGATTTCTTGCTTCTTCTCCGGTTGTTGCAACACAATCGAATCCAATAAATCCATAAAAACATGTCGCAGCACCTGATATAATTCCAACTATACCGTACGGTGCAAACCCTCCCGTTCCAAATTTACAACTTTCTTCTGTACATGAAGGCTCAGTTTTCCAATTTTCAACTTTTGCTAAAAATCACAAATTTTTCAGTTAATAATTTTATATTATTTTCATTTCATTTTTTTAAAAAATAATTTACCTTTAAAAGCTCCGGCACAAATGACAAATAGAACCACTGATAAATTTATTACTGTGAATATATTATTTGCCAATGATGATTCTTTTGCTCCAAAAGCAAGAGCCGCTGAAAATAAAATAATTCCATTTTTTGACAAATGAAAATAAATCCTTAAAATTGTCAGCAATTAAACTAATTACTAATAGAAATATTAATATTAAAATATCAAAAGTTGAAAAATATTTTTCGTAATCAAAATTGTTTTTTAATTTTCATTTCATTTAGAAACTTATCTTTAATTTGGATATCTCTGCAGAGAAATTTCATACACGCTTAACACGAGTTTTATCACTGATAAAACGTAATAGTCTATTACGACATAAAATCTGGATTATTATCTTTAATTGTTGCAAATTTCTCAAGATTTTTCTCTCTCTCAAAAAAAAAATCAATTTTAATTTTAATTTAATTTTTAATTATAATTATAATTTTAATAAATGAATTATAATTTTTTAATTTCCTTTTTTTTGAACAATGAAGTTGTAAATTTAATTTTGTTATTAATTTGTTTAGAAAAATTTCTATGGGATTTTATTGTGACTTACCGGAAAAAGCGAGAGTGACGCCAAATGCAAAAAAATCCGGATACGATGAAAGATGATTGACACTGATGTGAGCCGCTGATTCAAATGCTCTTCTCATTGAATTATCACAAAGTGCATCGACATAAGTACTTAATCCACGAACAACACTCGCTGAACCAATTACATATTCGAGAATTAGGGTCCAACCTATGAGGAAGGCGACAAATTCGCCCATTGTTACGTAACTATAAACATAAGCTGAACCAGCTCTTGGTACTCTTGCTCCAAATTCTGCATAACATAAACCTAAAAAACAAATTTATCATAATTAAATTAAATATTTTCTAATAAAATTATTTTATTTTAAAGTATTTTTTTATGTATTAAAATTTTTGTGATTTTTAATTTTATTGTTTGATATTATTTTGAAAAATGTTTTTAAATACTAATTTAATATTTTGCATTTTTTTTTTTTTTTTTTGTTCAGTACCTGCTATCATCGATGCTAAGGCTGCGATTGCAAAAGATATGATAACAGCAGGGCCTGCAATATCACGAGAAACAGATCCTGCTAATACATAAACTCCAACTCCAAGTGTTGAGCCTATTCCCAAAGCTGTAAGATCCAATGTTGAAAGGCATCTCGCTAATTCTGTATCCGAAGATGTGTTAATCACTTTTTTCCTTGTAAATATTCGGTAAATATCTTGCAAGCCTATTGTCTTCATTTTGTCAAACTTGAAAGAGAAATTTACAAAGGTCTCTTGAATTTCCATAATATATTTTTGTTTATTTTTATATTAACGATGAATTCAATTTTATAAGAAATTAATTTTTTTTTAATATTTAATTTATTCTATTTTAATAAATCAACTATAATTTTTAATTACTAAAAAGAAGATAAATTATATACGATGAGATATTTTAACTAGTAAGCTACAATTAAATAAGTAGCAATTAGACAATATATGATGGTATTATTGTTTACAAGTAGTTATTGCTATGACAGAAATCAAGGCTGTCAGACTAAAATAAAATATCTATTCTATAATATAAAACAAAAATATAATATGTATAATAAGTAATTTAATACATATTCAAAATTTATAACAATTTTAATTTTCCATATGAATTTTACATTTAATAATTAATAATAATTTTTTTAAGCAATAAAATTAAATAAAATATTTCCAGTTTTTTGTTATAACAATATTATTAAAGTAAAAAAAAAATTTGTCACTAAAATAAAGAAATTTCATTTTAAATATTATCATAAAGATTAATAATAATTATTTGATATTGAAGAAAATTATTATTAAATAATTATTTTTGAATAAAAAATGAGATTACCTATAAAATATCGAAATGAAATAGTAGATCATATCCAGAATGTCTTGGAATGAATTGAAAAACCAAGTTTATAACATGAAGTTTGACAGACTAATGAAATTTTTTTCTTTTTTTTAAAAAAAAAGAAATCAGTAACACCTTTATGACCATGTCATTATTATCTGAGTATGACAATATGATCATAGTTGGCGCTCTTTGAAAATCAGTTTTATCTACATCGTTTCTGTTTTAATAACAACTTGTGAGAGTGATGTCATAAAGTTATAATGCCCTATAATTGCTTTATAATAATCTTTATAATATGACTTTCTTAATATTTTAAACTATTTTTAAAAACTATGTGTTACTTATGAACTAAAACGTGCGTAGGATGAAAGCAAAATTCTTTTTTTTTTTTTTTAAATGCGATAAAGAAATAATTTTACCTACCGTTATTTCTCTTGACAAAAAGAAGGCCATTATTTCTTTATCTATATAAAATTAGAAAATTTTTTGAAAAACAATTTTCAAAATTCTAATATCGCATTTCGTGAATGACTAAATTAAATTGATCACTGTGTCTTCTTAAATGTTAAACAAATTTTTTTTTCATTTCGTCATCATCACGAATCAATTGAATAAATTGCGATTCATTAGTGCGGGTCTTTTTTTTTTTTTCTTAAACACTTGAGTAATAAAAATTTCATTTTCCGAAATTAATAGAAAAGATTTTTTTAATACATTTTTTCTATCATAAAAACAATTTGAAACGCAAATATTTTTTTATTGTTTTTCCTGATATATTTATTAACCATATAATTTACAGATTAGGTAAAAGATCATAAAAAAAAATTGGATAAGAAGCGTTTTAAAATACTTTTTTACAATTTTGTGAAATATTTCCATTATTTAAAAAAAAATTTCTGTTTAAAATGTTCGTCAATTTATAAAAAAAATTATTTATTTTTAACTACAAAAAATATTTAATATATTTTAAAAATATTTTTTTATTATATCCATTCTTTTTAAAAGCTATACTATCTACATTATGTATATAGTGTCGCAATTAAAAAAATAAATTCCATTATTATGTAATTTAAAATTTATTTTAAACATAATTAATTTTACGTAATACTTAAAATATTTTTAAAAAGCAAGGATAATTTTACATTAACATCAATTTCTTTAGGTTTCAATCGACTTCGATGACCTTGAGATGGTTTAATCAACTGTGTTTCTGAACAAGGAAATGGTTCACAATAGAAATATTGATGATGCAATGCCTAAAAAAAGAAGAAATAGAAAATTATTTTAATTTTAGATTTTAATTTCCAAAAATTTTCTCACCTCATTTGCTGTCAAACGTTTTGAGGAATTATAGAGGAGAATATTTCTAACGAGATCAACAGCTTCCGATTGAGCATCAGGAATCACTTGTTCCCACAATGTTCCTTTTTGGTAAGGAAATGTTATTTTATTATAATCCGGTAATGTCGTTAATTCTGGCCACGTTTCCGCTGTTGGCGAACCCAAATGTCTCAAAACAATTGCCAATTGTTCAATATCCGTATCGCCCTGCAATATTATTTTTTTAATGAATAAAATAATAAAATTATGTTTTTAATAAAATATTTTTATGACTCACGGGAAAAAGTGGAGCGTTATTAAGCATTTCACCAAAAATACAACCAACCGACCACATATCAATTGATGCTGAATAAAATCGTGCACCATATAATAATTCCGGTGCTCTATACCATCGGGTTGCAACTTGATGGGAATAAGGTCGACTAACATCTTCCCACATTAATCGCGATAATCCAAAATCGGCAATCGTTAAGATACCATTTTTCTTTATCAATAAATTAGCAGGTTTTAAATCCTAAAATACAAAAAAAAAAAAAAAAACATTTTATATCAGTTCTTAAAATAATTGTCGTTTTTCCCGATAATTTAATTATCTGATATTTTTATAAATTCAAGACTTGACCTACTCTGTGCATTATATTTTTCGAATGCATATAAGCAACTCCTTCCAATAACATTTTCATATAAGTTTTTGTTTGTGACGGTAATAATGGATTTTCATTATCTTTTATTAATTCCCATAATCCTGATGGCATGTACTCGAACACCATCACAAAATCGAGTCCAATTGGAAATGCATCAATCAATTCAATTATCTAAAATATTTTTATATTAACGTGTTTTTTTTTATTTTTCATTCTATTTTTTAATAACTTTATAACAAATAATTTTTTAAAAAAGAAATATTGCGAATAAAATGTAATTAATTAATTAAAATAATTATATAATTACATAGGGATGCTTTAGGGTTTGTAAACTTTTAACTTCACGAATTATCGATGTTGGTATTCCATCTTCAATTCTTTTTAATAATACTTTTTTTAAAGCCACTTCACGACCATTTGTATTATCGATTGCCTTCAAAACAACTCCATGTGCTCCTTCTCCTATTCGACCACTAATGGAATATTTATCCATTTTGATGATTTTTCACTTATCTTCTGTTTTCATTTATATTTCTCTTTTTATTCCATATAATGTTTAAACTAATTATTTAATTTTATCATAAATATATAATTTTTAATGTAATTATTATTTTTTCATTTCAGAAAATAAAACTCTCTTCCCATATGAAAACAAAAAGCAGGTGAAGTTTCACCTGACGGTCACATGTGCGACTAATCAATATTTAAAACGAAATCAAGTACGTAAGAAATGTTATATATTTCTTTTAGTATATTCTATAGTATTTAGTAATTATTATTTTATTATTTTTATAAATTTACAAAATATAATAAAAGAAATCAAGTAAATTAAAAAAAAAAATTATAAAAAAATAAAATAATAATAATTTTTTATAAAAAAATTATTAATTAAAATTTATATTTTAAATATTATAACACGAGAAACAGATTTTTTTTAAAATTGGTAATTCTGATTAGAGCCAAAATTTCTCTAGTTAGTCATTTTATTTAAATTAAGTCAATTTAGTTCAATTGAATCAATTGAATGAAGAAGACCTTCTGCAAAATAATCGCACATGCCGTGTGTGTCTAACACATTTTAATTTAACTATTGATTATTTTTATTTATTTTAACTATAATTATGATAAATTTTACCTGTCCACTTATTACAAGAAACAAAAACCATCAAATATATGTGTCAATCTTTTTTTGAATATTTTTCTTTTTTCAATTACTTCTTTAATATATACTAAATATAAAATTATGACAAGTTTTTTTCTTTTTATAAGAAATAATTTAGTTAAATTTTACAGGTAAACTTGAAAATTAAATGAGACGTTGCGGACCATTGGGAAAAAATGTAGATTGTCTTTTATTAACGGTAACATTATTCAGATGATCAACTTTTTTTTTCTTGACATTTGCCTATATTAAATAATATATACAGTTAAAGAAAGTTTAAAATATTAACATTTTTTTCTAATTTTCTATTTTCATTTTAGCGTTGGTGTGAAAATATAACACCCAGACATTGATGTCCAATTGGAAGTCCAATGAACTCCAAGGAAAAGCAATCGTTTAAGAAATTCACAATTTTTTCGTAAGTACCCAAAATTTCATGCAAATTAATTAATTATCAGAAAACAATTTTCTGAAATAATTGAACTTTTTAAAAACTGGTAAGAAAATATTTAACAATTATTTTTTATCAATTTGATAAATTAGAAGAACATTTTAGTAAAAAAAAAAAGTGCCTTGAAAATTATCGTGTTGAAATATGAGGATTCAATACAAAATTGCAAATTGGTTTTTTTTCTTTTGTTTAAACAAGCAAGAATTTATCGTTTTGAAAAGCGTATATTTATTCAAACTATACGAATTTAAACATTTTTTTTTTCAAGTAAAAAGTAAAGAACGAAAAAACAATGAAATTTCATTTATTCTTCATTTGGTTGATTTATTTTCTATTTCTATTAGGTGAGAGATTATTTTCAATTAAAATTTTTAATCTAAATTATAAGAAATAATAATTTTCCAGTTGATGGAAATTCTTGTGGTAAGGGTGGAAATATTTGTAAAGCCAGCTGTGCGGATTCTTTTAAAATAACTGGTAATTGTGAATTACCAGGATTAATTTGTTGCACAACATAAATATTAAATAAATAACATTTTATTATATTTTGAAAAAAATACATAATATATTTAAATCAAGTTTCTTAATTTATTATTACAATTATAATTAATTAGCCATCAAATTGCAAAAGAATAATTAGATATGTCGTTATAACTCCAATTATCTGAAAATAATTTAGAACTGATCTAAAATTATAACAACAACTTATTAAAATCACTTACCCTATAAAAAAATCCATCATCTAATGAAAAAAATCCACATAATGAAATTTTTACTTTTTGTTGAAGTAACATTAGTGAGACTTTTTTAATCTGAAAAATAAAAATTATTTTATTTATTTTTAAATAATTATTAGATTATAAATAAAATTTTATTAATTATAACATTTATTCTTAACATACAATTTTTCGACAGCTAATCGGTTTATGTGTAATCCACATTTTATGAAGAACATTACCAGAATTATTTGCCTAGAATATAAAAATAAAGAAATCTACTAAATTATTTTTAATTATATTTAATAAAACAAAATAATTTTTTTTAATTACTTTCATTTTATTTTACATACCGTTTCACATATATTACCAGAAATTGATGATATTAAAAAAAATTGTAATATAATAACAAAAGTCCACATTATAATGTAACTAATTATAATGACATCCCCTATATCCCACATTCGATTAGTTCTCAATATAAGGTATATTAAATTTATACATGCAACTATTTGCAAAAAATTTGTAGCCATTGCTATTAACATTGGCAAGAAAAAAATGTTAGTTATATTTTCCAAAAGATCATGCAGTTCATTATGTAAAATACCAAATGTCTCAACAGTTACTGCAATTTCGGAATTTGTTATTCTAAAAATATTAAAAAACGTTTAAAATAATTTAAAAAAAAAAATAAATAAATTTTAAAAATAAAAATGAAAATAAAAGACTTGAATAATAAAATATTCTCTTACCTGGAAGAATTTTCCTCTGAACTTTCGTGAAATACAATAAGATATTTTAATCGAATATTCAATAGTCGATAATGTTGATAAATAATATTTAAAATTGATATAAAAAAAAATATCATATTATGATATACAATTCGAAATAATGAATTTATAGTCCATAATGTCAATTTTTTAAAATCAAAAAATGAATTTATATAGATTTCGACAAGCCATAAAATTATATACAAAATACTTATAAGTATAGTATTAATTGTAATTAATCTAATTATTTCAAAATTATCTCTTTCAATTCCTATATTTCGTGCAATTTCACCAATTTTATTAAAATTGTCAATAACTTTCTTGAATTTTTTTTGACGAAATCCAAAATTCATCCACGATACAATAACCACTGAATATTGAAAATTTTGAAGAAATCTATCCCAAAATGCAGACACTATGCTTTCTATTGTAAAAATTATTTTAAATCGAAAGACAATATTTTTGTAAAATAATATTGTATATATGACGCAAAGAAAAATTGAATAACACATTCCTTTTTGGGAAATGTGAAATTTATCCATTTTATTATCATTTTTTAAAGAAAGAGGACATAGGCCAATAATTTTTCCATAATAAAAAATAAAATAAACTTTCAATGGATATTTTTTACTCAAACAAGTCGACATTATAAATGTACTTATTTTAATGACTTATAAATATACAAATTGCAGAAAGTAATTTACAAATTCAATTTCGATCAATGTAAGATATTTATTTAGAGTTATCTGAAAAATTATCTAATGATAATAAATAAATAAATTCTCTTTAAATTAAAAGTCGATTTATTAATTGAATCATGTGAAATTTGTTTAAAAAAATTTTTTGAAATATAAAAATTCGTTTCAAAAATATTATATATAAGAATTTATAATTATTTAAAAAATTTTCTTTTTTTGATTGATAAATAAATAAAGAAATTATCGAAAATCATCAAGTTGTAATAAAATAATGAGATACGTTGTAATCATTCCACAAGTCTGAAAATATTTAAGTCATTAATTCTTCATTTTTTAATTAATAATATAAAATTGAATTTCTATTATATATTTATGGATACATTACCCGGTAAAAGAATCCTTTGTCTATTGAGAAAAATCCGCATAGTGAAACTTTTGCTCTTCTCTGAAGTAACATTAGTGAAATTTTTTTAAACTGAAAAATGAAAATTTAAATAATATTAAATATCTAATTAATTTTATAAAACTATTTATTTTAAGTGACGTACAATTTTTTTACTATCAATTGGTTTATAAGTGATCCACATTTTATGAAGACAATTTCCTGAATTATTAGCCTGATAAATTGAAATATATAATAACTTTTTTTTTTCATTAAAAAATAATTTGCCACATTAAAATTGTATTTACGTACCGTTTCACATAAATTAGTAGACACATAAGATATTATTAAAAATTCCAAAGTAATGATGAAAATCCATAATAAAATGTAAGAAACAATGTTAAGAAGATAAGCATTGAAATCTTGAAATTTTCGAAATATAAGATACAATACATTTATTGATGCAACAACATGGAGAAAATTTGTTACCAAAGTCAATAAAATTGGCAGGAAAAAAAATTCAGTTACATTATCCAATAGATCAAGCAACTCATTATGTAATATTCCATATGTTTCAATTGTCAATGCAATTTGAGAATTTATTATTCTATAAAAATTGTGGAAAAAAAAATAATTCTTTTACTAATAGGAAAAATTTTTACTTCAACAATTAAATTAAATTAAATTTTAAGAACGTTAAAATGATAAATTTAACACTCACCTATAAAGTGGTTCATGTGAAATTTTTGATAATTTAAAAAATTTTATACAAATATTCAATTGTCGAAAACGTTGATATAAAATATGTAAAGCCGATATAAAAAGAAAAAACATATTATGATAAACAATACGAAATAAAGAATTTAATAACGCAAATATTTTTTCTCTATCTGATGAAAAAGTTATATTTAAATTTAAATGTACAGAAAATAGAAAAAAATACAAAAAATTAATAATTAACGTATAATTTATAATTATTTGAATTATTTCAAAATTATCATTTCGAATTCCTAAATTTTCAGCAATTTCTCTTGTCTTATTAAAATTATTGACAATAGACTTGATTTTTTTCTGACGTAATCCAAAATTTAACCATGTAATGATAATTAAAATATATTGTAAAATTTGAAGAATTCGATCCCAAATTGCCGAGATAAAATTTTCAATTCCATAAGTCATTCGAAATCTATAGATAATATTTTGATAAAATATTAAAGAATATATAGTGCAAAGAATAATTGTATATAAAATGCTTATATTTGTAATAGAAAATAATTTTTGATTTATTTTTAATGGACATAGTCCAAGAATTTTCTCATAATAATAGAGAAGATACACTTTTATTTGATATGTTTTTCTTTCACAACGTGTTGTCATTATAAAAGTACTTATTAGAATGAATTATATTAGAAATTGTAGAAATAATAATTTATTATTCAAAATCAATTAATAATATGTGAAAATATTTATAGACTTATCTGAAAAAATTTGTCTAATGTATTTTCAATTAAATTATTTCTAATATAAATTAATCTTATTAAAATTACTCTTTTTCTGGAGTTTTTAAAATAATTTATTAGAATCTTTCATTTTAATTCAAATTAATTTCAAAACTCAATTAATTAGCAATTAAGTTGCACTTTTAGAAAGATTTTTTGAGACACTATTTTCGCAATCGGCAAAAATTTTCTCCATATTACCAAATTGTATGAAAATAACTAAATAAGTTGTAATTGCTCCAGCAACCTGTGAGAAAAGAAAATTATAATAATTATAAATTCAATATTAATATTTATTAAATAAATTACCGCTTGCAAAAGAGCAGAATCCAATGTAAATAAACCTCCAACGGAAAATATTAATTTTTCATGCAACAATTGAGTCGAAAAGGATTGAATCTGCATTAATAAGTTTAAGAAAATTTCATTAATAAAGTTTTATTTTTTAAAATACAAATAATTTTTACCATTTCAAAAAAAGCTGGATTCAATTGATTTATTTTAATTTCGTGAATAAGTTTTTCCGGAAATGAAGCCTAAAATAAAAATAATATATTAATAACAAAATAATGACATAATTTATAAAATATATTTTATTTAATTCAATGATAAATATATATAAATTTTTATAATTACATTACCTTTTTCGTGGTCCAATTGCAAATAAAAACAATGATAATAATTTGAGCACCGGTAATAAATATTCCAAACATATTATTGACAATGGTAATAATTCCTTTTTGTTGTTTAATATCTAAAATTAATCTATATAACATTAACGTAACAAAAATAAATGTTTGAATTCCACAAAGAACCTGCAAGTTAATGTAATTATTATTAAAAATAATTTCCAAATAATTTGTTCAATTTAATATTTAATAAAAAAAAAGAAAACATTTTACCCACCAGACTGGGAAAAAAAATAATAATAATTTTTTTTCCAATTTTACATAATTGACAATGTGTATTTGCTATAATTCGAAGCACTTTCATATTCTCAAAACTCTGAAAAACATTTAGAAATAATAAAATAAAAAAAAAGGAAAATTACTATTTTCTAAAGTTGGTTCAAACTTTTTATTTTTTATATTAAATTATACCTGAGGATGAGTAGATTTTACAATTAAATTCAATTTTTGATTAAGAACCTTAAATCTCATTCCAAGAATCCAAACGAGGCAGAAAAATAATGATAAATTTGATTTGTAAATAAGTGACGGTAACCACCAGTTTGTCCAATCAATTAATGTGCTCACACTATTTTTTTTTTATTATATCACAATAGAAAAAAAAAATTAATTATTTTACAATAATTAATGTATTTTTTCTTTACCTTATTAGTTTTTCATTTACCTAATTCCATAATAAACTTCTTGAAAACTTAATAGTAAATTAATAATAGTGACTAAACGTATAAAAATTTTAATTTGCTTCATATCAGCTCGATAATTAATATGACTTCCAATCTCGTTCACTATTTTGTCTTGTTTTGCAAAACACTCAAGCATTTTTTTAAACTGAAAAATTAAAATAAAATTTTTTAATATAATACATTATATTATTATTATTTATTTACCTTATTAATTGTTATTAATTTCCATACAGTCATTTCGAGTAAACTAATAATATTGAAAGCCTCTTTTATATGAATCAGCAATTTTGCATCAAATTCTAATTTTTTTGAACTGTAAAAAAATTATATATAGAAAAAGGGAAAAATAATATTGAAGTCAATTTTTAAGAAAATAAAAGAGAAAAACATTTTAAGTTTCCCTTACGTTTGATACCGAAGACTGCCATTGAAAAAAATTACATCATACGATGAGATGCTGACAAGAAATGATAAAAAAATATTATAGGCAACAAGTGATTTTTTAATTATATATTTTCTATTTCCCACTTCTCCTCTTGTGGTAAAAATAATTACACCAAGAATTTTCCAATTCAATGCCACCGATTCTAATACCGAATAAATGTCTCCTTCATTTTTCAATTTTTCTAAAAAGTGAAAAATAAAATGATGATTGAAATAAATAAATTACAGAGAGAAATTAGATTAATTACTTACCATTTTCTTCTTTATTCTTCTTCATACCTTTTTTTTTATAAAAAATATATGAGATCTAAATGCCTCCCTCTAATGTTCTCTAATGATAATAATATCTTATACTTCCGTTTTTGAATTTTATTACAAGTTTTTTTTTTATAACAATAGATATTTTTAATCTATTTAATGTAACACATTTCTTCCACTGTTTTTCTTAATTAACTAATTGTATATAATCATTTATATGATAAAACATTATCATATTTCTGTCCTCTTACTTTAATTAAAATATCGATTGAAAATATTTAATTTTTATTCGAATTTAGAAGAATTTATTAAATTGATTTAATTCTAAAAATTAATCTTTTTGTATCCAAATATTAAAATAACAAATTTATTATCGTTGAATTAATTTATTTTTTTGAAAAATATAATATATTTTTCGTAGCATAAAAATTATACAATTCACTCATTCACACTGGACATATTGACATAAAAACATTCGTTGCAATCAATTACAAAAATAAAATCATTCCATATAAAGTAAAATTATACAATAAATCGAATTATCAAATTCAATTTCACATTTTTTCAATAAAAAAAAAGAAACATCTAAAATCTATATTAAATATTAAAAGCATATTGATAGTAAATTTACAAAAAACGTCATAAAGTTGATTAAATGAACATTCTTTTCACACTGTAATCGCATTGTATGCGTGTAATATTGAATATAATATTATAATACTGATGAAAATTGCAATTTTTCAAATAACTATGTTAAAAATGTACAATTATTGTGAAATATCACATTTTTTTTATTTACAATTGTGCGTCACATTTTTGTAACGTTTTTAAAAATTTTCAAAATAAGATAAAAAAAAAAGGAAATTATTTCATATTTTATCTACGAAAATAAAATATTATAAGAAATATTTATTTACGATTTTTAAATATATATAAAATATAAGGAAAATATATTTTTTTTTCGTAAGAAAAAAGAAGATGAACTCTGCTATTTGAAAATAATGGATAAAAAAATTTTAAGTTTCGCGAAATATAATTCAAAAATTACTGCTTTAAATATAGAGAATATTATGAAAATTTTGTTAAAATATTCCTAAAAGTGTTTCAATACTTACAACTAAAATACTAAAAACTAAAAGAATTACATTGGATGTCATTTGAAATCCTGTCGATTTCGTTGTCTCATAATAGTACCTGTTGTAAGCTTCATCGCAATGTGAAGGCCAATCTTTAAAACATGCCGCATAAGCCACCGCGTGTGCAATATAATTTTGCTCGAATGTTCCTCGAAACAAATGAGAGTATGGCCCTAGAAAAAAAAAATTAAATTACAATTTTATAAATTCATTTCAATTTTAGGAAAACAAAAAAAAAGACAAATTTTCTACCAATAGCATAAAGAGCAACATCCTCTCCACCATGTGTCTCGTCCTTTAAATATTTTCCAGCAAAATGTCGATAATATGGACTTTTTCGTGTCTGATCATCCTCGACACGTCGCCATGTTTCATTAACATTTGTACTATCATTTCGTCGATGATAAAAAAATCCAGGTCCATTAGCATAACTAAGAGTTTCATATGGATCAACTTTTTCGGTTTGATTCGCAAATCCAAGAATATCAGATCCTCTTTTTGGATAACCATTTAAAGTAAATGCATGTGAATGATCGGCAGTTACAATTAATAAAGTTTCTTTCATTTTTAATTCTCTAAAAGCAACTTGAATTGCATCTTCAAAATCCGATAATTCAATTAAAGCCATTTTCGCATAATTCGCATGATGAGCTATATCTATTTTACCACCTTCAACCTTAAAAAAAAAAAAGAAAAACCTCTTAAAACTAGAAATTGGTCAATTTTAAAATTTGTCATCAAAAAGTCATTAAATTGAAAATTAATCAAAATTTTAATAATAATAAAATATTAGAAACTCACTAGAAGGAAAAATCCATTTTTATTCTTCTTTAAAATTCGTATCGCTTGTAAAGTCATATTAGCCAATGAAGGAGTTTCTTTAGATTTAACGGCACTATATTCAACGTGACTGCTGCCAAAAATTCCCATAATTTTCGATGTATTTGCAATATCAACTGCCATTAAATCTTTGAGATTTGTAACAACTTTGCTGTCAGGATTATTATTTTTCCAAATTTCTGCTAAATTACGTCCATCATCTCTTTTGCATAGATCAGTGTCCTCTTTTATATTTGGAATACCCAAACACTGTCCACCTCCTCCCATTATTACCTATTAAAAAAAAAAAAACAATTTTGCTTTTTTTATTTTTAATTTCATTCTTTTTAAATTTGCTTTTCCTTTAAAAGTCCTTGAACTTTTTTTCTCAATGTTATTAATTAACAATGGAAATTAACAATATTTAGCGCACTCTATACAAATGATTCAAATGAACACTAAAAATTTTTTTTCAATTGAAATAAAATTACAATGTATGAAACATTTTAATTATAAATAATAATTTGTCATAATTTTTAAATGACTAAAATTTTAACAGAAAAAAATTCGATAAATGATGTTGAAAACAATTGTAAAAACAAGTATAATTTATTAAAAGCACGATTCTTATCAATTTTCTCAAGAACTTATCTTGAGAAAATAATTTTCTATTCCTTTCAAATAATACACGTGAGAAACAATAAGAAGAAAATCCTGAGTTTTCATTTTTTTTTTTTTTTTTTTAATTATAAAGTAAATAAATTAGCCATAAAAAATTGAAGTCAATAAATTAGTCACAACAGTTAAAGGAAAATGAGTTATATTATAATTATTATATAAAATTAAATTAAAATTTTATGAAGTAATAATATGATTGACGTAGGTATATAAATTATTTACAATAAATTTTGCAATAATTTAATTAGGACAAAAAAAAGTTTATTTATCATTCAACAAATAATAAATTTATCAATTTAATTTGAATGATTTATTTAGATATAAATTTAATAAATTTAAAAAAAAATAAATTTGAAAAATTTTTTTACCTTGAAATTTTTTCCTGGTGCATCTTCTACTAATTGTCTGGCGATATCTTTCACGCATGTTCTATATTCTCTTGGAATTTCAGTTTCACATTCCCAATCGCGATTATTTATATGTGAATATAGAGCCCCAGGTGTTGCATGAGTGACACGTGTAGTCGTTACAAAACCTAAAACAAAAAATATTAAATTAATAAATAATCATAGTATGTACTAAATTAAATTCAAAAATTGCAAATCAAAATTAAATCGTGAAATTCTCCCTAAAAATCCATTCTTTTATATATAAAAAAAAAATTATATGAATTAATTTTACTACTTCTGGTGATAATTTAATAGGTTTTTTCAATTTTCGGTAATTTATTTATAGATCTAATTTTCAGGTTCAGTGAAAATTTTTTTTTTTTTATAGAAAAAACATTCGAAGGGTTCCCGTCGACAAAAAGAAGGTCGTCTCGTGGCCTCTGAGTGATTAAATATATTTTCACGTGTAGCCTTACCAAGGCCCTCCATGTACTGATTCCTAATTGATTGCACTGTGTCATTGGTCAGTCGATACATAATAATAATTTTCATACATCTAAACTTTCAATTTTCATTCGTTACAATTTTTTTCATTTCAGTCATAAATTATAAATTCCACAGTTAAAGTTACATAATTCCCTTTTCTCGTTGAATAATAATAATAATTTATTCTTTGTTAGCTTTTTTTTTCTAAACTATAATAAAATAAAATTTTATCCTCGATTCATTGAGGTCAAGATGAAATTCTAATAGTGATTTCCTTTAGAAATTTAAAAAATTATTATTAATAAATATTAGCTTCTTATTACAATTATTAAAAATTATACGAAGATTTTGTTTTAATACTTAAAACATTGGAAATTGTTTTTTTAAAAAATAATTTTGTTTTCTGTTGCATTTTATAGAAATATTAAAACTTGCATAACAATTGAAAATGTGAATCTTCATCTTTATATGAAAGGTTGAATAATAGACACAAATCTCTTTCTGTCTAAATCTTCTCACAATAATTTAATAGAATTAAGTATTCTGACGTAGATATGGTACTAATTTGTAATTTCAAAAACTATATTTAGGCCCTATGTCTTGATTAGATCACTTTTTACATCATGAGAAATATTAAACTGTTTATCAGTCATTGTATGATTAGATTTTTTTTTTTGCAAGATCAATTTTTTAAAATAGAAATTCTAAAAAGTATACGACAAATTTTATTATTAGTTTAATTAAAAATTCATTTGATTTTTTATGCAGACAAGAAATTAGAGAATCTGATTACGAGATACAAAAAAAATGTTTTAACTGAAAGCAACCGAATTTTTGTAAGCAGGAAATTTTTCTTTTAATAGAAGATTGATTCTTAAATTAAGTGTTATCAGGAATTTAAAAAATTGTTTAATTGTTTTATCTTCATTATTATATTTATCTTCAAATTTCTTTGCATAAAAAAAAAATTAATTTCAGGAAACAATTAAAATTTTTTCTACAACAATCAACAATTTTTACTTTTACTCTGCAATAAAAAAAAATACAATTTTTACTATTTTAAAACAATTTTTATTATTATTTCATTGTTAAATCTCTTTAAAGTTGTATATACCTACTTATGAAATTGTTTTAAAAAATATATAATGAAAAACTAATAATTAAATTTAATTTTTTTCACATAAATTATTTTGTATTATGCAAGAAGATAAAACAAATTATATTTTTATGTCTAATTTCCTGAATAATAAAAAAAAAAAAAATGCGTTTTTTGAAAAATAACATTGTCGTGAAAAATGGACCAAATGTAAATTACTGAGTACTTAAAAATTGAAATGTATGCACAGTGAGTGTAATGGATGTAATGGAATAGATGGAATTATGCAACTTGCAGTTAAACCATCATTATGGCTTCTCGAGTAAATCGAAGTTCAAGTTCATGTTCAACAAAGTATGTTCCCCCGAGTAAATTCAATACGTGTAGTTTCTTTCTTTAAATTCAAAAATAATACTCTAAAATCCCCAGAAAAAAATATCTACATTACAATTTAACTGTTACGTAAAATTATTTACCAATTAGTCTTCTTGTTTATAAAAAAAAAAATTAATTAACTCATTAATTGAATGATTGATTAAATGATTAATTAATGAAAAAAAATTCAGAGAGCGATTAATTTTATTATTAATTCTTATTTATTTTTCTTAATAATTTAAAATTAATTTAAAAACAATAAATTATTGGATACTAAAATAAATTAAAAAAAAAAAAAAAGATTATAAAACTTACCTGTGTCCATTCCCGATTCTTGGGCCCAATCTGCAATCGTTGATAATTTTGCTGCCTCATTAATATTTTTATCACATGTATTAACTTGTGCCTTTGCGTCTAGACCAAGAATTTTATATCTACTCTTTACACCGGAAAATATAGCCGTGGCAGTTCCCGCAGAATCAGGAACTTGTCTATCAATATTGTATGTCTGAAAAAAAAATTTCTTTTGTCATAAAAAAAACAAAGGAATTTAAAAAGAAATATTTTCCATTATATTCAAAAATTAAAATAATTTAACGTCAATATTTTCTTTTACCTCAAAACTTAGTTCAATGCCTTCTGAACGTAGGCAAAAAATGACCTCAGTCATTTCTTTTCTTTTCTTAACTTAGCATAAAAGTAGGTCGCTTAAGAAATTATTTGACATTGTAAATTAAACTATATAAACATTATATTATATATTTCTGGTAATATATTTAAGCGTGTAAAATGTTATTTTTCAAGTTTTTCTTTTATCGTTGAGGAAATGATTTAGAATAAAAATATTTACTCGTTTTACATTTTCCTTACTTTCAAAGTTACAATATTATGTAATATAAGTTTTAAAAAAATGCTTTAGTTTTTTTTTAATGAAATACATTTAATTATTCTTTTTAATTACTTTTATAGATTATTAAAAAAAATTCTAAATTATTTTTTGTATATTAAAAAAAAAATATTTTAATACCTTAACAAGTGCTGCGTTGGGAAATTTTTCAAAATTGAGTTTATACTCTTCACCATTAAATCCTTTAGACTGTCCTTTAAATATTCTTCCAGCAGTTATTGTTGATATTCCCATACCATCGCCAATGAAGATAATAATATTTTTTGCCTTCTTCTCTAAGTTTCGAATAGATAGTACCCTTTGAAGATTATCTTGTCCCGATTTTAACCAAAATGACATGTCTAAAAGAAAGAAATTAATTAATTTATTAAATTAAAAAAATATTATTTAAGAACAATTAAGATAATTTAATTTATTTTGAATTTTTTTTTACTTAAAAAAGGACATATACAATGTTTAAAAAAAGATCTTATTCAAAATAAATTAAAATAATTTTTATTTTTACTAAGATAAGTCACGTTTTTTAAAGAAAATTTTACGTTTATTTTTTTTTTTTAAGTGTGTTTTTACTTTTGTATTTATTTTTGTCTCTTCTTTTTGTTCAACAAAAAAGAATACAAATAAGGAAAATTCCGGTTTTATGATAATTAAAAAGATAAAATAACCATCACAATTATTCTCGAAAAGTATTAAAAGATTATTTACAATTAGTTGAAAAGTGATGATAATAGGAAATTATTTTAAATTTGTCATTGAAACTATAGAAAATTTTGGTTTCATTGAAATTATTATTATTAAAATTAATTGATTTCTATATGGTATTTATTAAAATTATCAAAAAAGCGGGTAATTCTTTTATTTCAGAATTATAAAAAATCAATAATTTTGTTACAAATACAAAATCGTTATAACTGATAATTAAAAAATTATTTAATTTAATGCAAACCAAAAAAAAAAGATTAATAAATAAATGAATCAATGATTTAATTTAAAAACTAATTGTATTGTTCAGAATTAATACAAATATAGTTTTCAGTTTTTATAATTAGTGTTATGTAAAAAAAAACATAATTAACTGTCTTGTTTTTTTTTTTCAATTTATCTATATGAATTGAATAAAAGTTATTTTACATATTCCACACGTGGCTAGAGTAAATTTACAAAAAGGAATAATTAAAAAAAACTTGTTAAATAAATAATGAAAAATGTTAATTTACCTTCATTATCACCAGGTGATTGCCATGAATCTCGCAAAACAATTGCAAAGCACAGGATTAAAAGTGAACTCTTCATTTTTTTTTGTTGGATTAGAAAAATAAAAAGAAAAAAAGAATTTTTTCCAATGTATATTTTTATATGGAAATTTAATCAAAGTTGTTTAGAATTTCAAAGACTCTATGATAGAATTATGAGATTTCAATTAATTAATACAATTCAGATTGTAAAAATCATAATTTAAACGAGAACACATTATTAATATAGAGATTTTTTTTTTCCCAGCAATTGATTTTCCAATAAAATTTCCTTTCGTGACTTTGCAGAAAATTGAAATTGATCCTCACAGAAGCTGTAACTAATTAATAATTAACATTTATTTTTATAATATTAAAAATTATATTAATTTGTTTTTATTTTTTTAAATTATATATTTTACATTTTGAAATATTGTATGCTAACAATTCAAAAAATAGTAAAAATTCAATTTTTAATTTAAAATTTATAAATTTGAGAAAAAAAATTATACCTTTTTTTTAAAAAAAAATAATACAGGCTTTGCAGGAGGTCTTTAATTTAGAGATGAATTTTGATTTGCAAAAAATCGATTAGAAAAAAAAAAATAATAATAATTTGAAGAAAATTCAGATAGTATGAGGGAATATCTCACGTCTTCGCTGGTTCGCGTTGAATTAAAGCGAGGGTCAACTCTGAGCGCAATTTTCAAAGAAAACAAATTGAGGATATAGAATGAGGAAAAAAAAAAGGATCAGAGGCAATCGGCGCCTCGCGAATAACGCGGTAGCACTGACACGTAGGTAGAAGACAGTTTGTCACTTTATATAGCTCGTTTGATTAGCTGGTGCACGAGGTAGAACGTGTGCAAGAGATTGGAGTAAATTTTCTGAGGACGCTGAGTAGAGGGGCCTAGAGCAACACAAGAGTCGAGGGGTAATCCTGCCATAATTGTCAACTATGATTATGCCTTTTCGTTCTCTTTACAAAACGTACCCTAGATTCAAGATGGACTAATTTTTAGCATATTTTCCAAAACTATTTAAAAAAAAATAAAATAAATTCTTTTATTAGAAATTTTTAATCTTGCGAATTTTTTAATTAGACTACTTTTTATTTATAGAAAAGAAAAAAATTGATTTAAAAAATGTAACAAAAAATATTTAAAAATGTACTCTTTACATTATCAAAAAAAATAGTTTTTAATGTTTGCATCCAAAACTATTAAAAAAAAAAAATTCTTTTATTAGAAATTTTTAATCTTGCGAATTTTTTAATTAGATAACTCTTTCATGATTTTATCTAATTTTTATTTATAGAAAAGAAAAAAATTGATTTAAAAAATGTAACAAAAAATATTTAAAAATGTACTCTTTACATTATCAAAAAAAAAATAGTTTTTACTGTTTGCATCAATATTCTTGTCTTCTTTTCCTTGCTTATCATAATGAATGAGACAGTATCAATATATTGTATCGCAATTTTCGGTTAAATTAATTCTTGATTACATTGAAAAAAAAAATTAAAAATAATTCCTTTCATCAAGTCTTGTTGTTTAGTACATAAAAATATTTAATTAACTTAAACACATAAATAAATGTTTATTTTAAAAAATTTCCTTTTTCTCCATACGTTAAAAAAATAATTTGATAATATTGCAGTAAATATTAACAAATAATTTTTCTTTTAATTTAAATATTTGAAAAATTATTACTTTGGTGATAATTTTGAAAATTGCATAATTTGAATATTAAAAGAAGCTTATTGTTAAATAACTACAATGACTTTATTTTATCTATTTCTACTTAAAATAATTTTTTTTTTTTTTTTCAATAATACAGTCATGTTTAGTAAGCAATTTTCCTCGATTGTAGAAAATTCATTATACTAACGTAAATCCCCCGATTTAAAACAGATTAATACAGTCTCATCTATTAAGCTAAATTAAACAACGAAAAGTAGTTATATACATTTAAGTAATATTGCGCAAATCATTTTCAATACAATGTAAATTAGATTGTCACTTATTAATCTAATATTTAAATTTTAAAAAGGATCGTAAAATTAATTATATTCAATTTTCCAAAATCAAATTTCTAATTAAATGTAAGAAAAAAAAAATTAGTTTAATAAATAAAATTATTAATACTACCATTTTTTAAATTTAATGAACTACATAAATTTATTTTATATATATCTTAAATAAATTAATTTAACAATATTGGAAAAATTCTCAAGACATCGAGGAAAGTGAGAAAAACATGGAAAAAAGATGTCAATTGAAATTGACCTCTAATAAGAAGATTAATTTAAAATGCAGTGAATTTACGTCAAGATGAGCATGAAATGCAGAAATAAATTGAAAATAAAAATTAAAAAATCGGTTATATTTAATTAAAGAACATAACTATATCATTCAATTTTTAAGTGTTATCAATATATATATATATATAAAAATGCGACGCGTGCTTGCAAAAGAAATAGCATTCATCTCGTGCTTTGCGTTCACGTGATAATTTTTGAACACGTTTAATGTTAAATCCGTCTATGATTAAACTGTGATAAAAATCATTTTAAACACGTGTATAATATAAACGAAGAAATGAAATTCACAAAGCGTATATTCAACTGATAGTTATTTCCGCTTTTTTATTTATACATATAGAGAAGTTGTCCTTTTCGTTTCCTGTCAATAAAATTAGGCCACCTTTAATTTGAGAAAAAAACCTATTAAAAAAAAAAAGAAAAAAAATTTCTTCAATTTACTGACAATCGAACAAATCCTTAAGCGAGATGAAATAAATTTTTTTTTTTTAAATCTTTGGTCATCGGTTTTATTACATGCAATGTTGATTGTCTCTAAAAGATAACGGGATTGAATATCATTAAATACACAATGAATGTTTAACAATAATTTCATGATAAATTTCACACTAAGTAATTTTATGACTTAAAAGAAAATGACAAATATTGAAATTAATTAATAATTCATAAATAAGAAAAAAAAAAATTAAAGGAAATTTTGAAAATCGATAAAAATTGAGAGATTTTCTTGTTTTCAATTAATTTGTGATTTGATGATAGTTTTTTCGAAATGTACTATATGTAAGTTTTACAAACCTTAATACTTTTATGAGATAGGTTCATGTCCGATGTGTTAACTTTTGAATAGAGAGCGTTATGATCCACTCTTGTCCTCAATCAACAAATCACGCCAGGTAATCGTACATATCGTTTTTATGACCTCTGCGTACTAGATAATTCTTTTCTATATCAAAATAGTTATGCATTCCTATTACAAAAAAAAAACACACCCCAATAAAAGAAATGCGATTTTCAAATATGATGACGAACATTTTTAGAGAATTCCAATCTTCTGCTTGCAATAATAATGCTAGAAATTAAAAATATTTTTAAATATTTATTTTTAACATTTAATAAATAAAATAGAGATAATAGTAAAGAAATTAATTCATTTTTTTTAAATCTTTAAAAAATATATTTATATTTAAAAATAAAAAACTTACCCTAACATGATCTATCAATAAATTTATTATTTTAAAATAAAATTCAATGCCAGGTGGATTATCTTGATAATTTTCTTCATTTTTAACATTGCAAATTTCGTACGTATTTTGATATCGTTCATTTGAAATTCCTTCATTGTTATCCATTTGATTAATTTTGTATTTAAATTAATTGCAATCAGAATCTTTCTTTTCCATTAAATTTTTTAAAATAATTTTGTTAACAAACTTCACTGAATAAAGGGATAAAATAATTTTTTTACATAATTCACAAATTTCATCTGTAAAAAAACAAAATAGAACTGTCAAATTGGTGTGATTATTTGTATTTTAATATTGTATAAAGCAATTTGAAACAATCATCTATTTTAAAAATAATGTAACATATATTCAATATAATATATTATTTTTACAGATATTTTATCTTTAGTATAAAATTATTTTAGATTATCATTAAATATGTACATATGACAGCATAACCTCAAAAATTGTTTAATATTTTTTTAAGATTTTTATTGCTACAACTTCAATAAATTTGCACTTTTACAAATAATAAAAATAGATAAATAATTTTATATTAATTTACCTTTAAAATATAATAATTTGCAATAAAGTAGTATAGAAAATAAATAATAAAGATAAATTATAATAAACCAGGGTGATTAGATTGTAAATTTAAAACTGTATTGTACCAGTGGTCGATAATAACGGAAAGAACTGTTTTAATTGTTGCAGATGGTATCAGATGGCGCTGCGATGATATTCGCAAAGATCATCATCTACATATGTTCGTGTCAGAGGCCAAGATGGCGCTTTTGTGTTTGCAGATCAGTTAATGTCCGAAATAAATGTCGTTAAAAAAAAAGTGCAATAAAATTCAACAAAAGGAATCAATGATAAAGTGAGTGATTGTGTTTAACATTAATTCATATGAATTCGCGATATTTCAAAGAAAAGACACGTGTCTTGATGAATTTGTCGCAATTTTTTGAATAATCAAATTAGGTCCCTTAAATTTTTTTCGGTTGTGTTGTATGTCCCACCTGAGGAATGCCAGATTTTTTTCCGTCCTGATCTTGAGCACAGACACAAGCAGATTCGCTTACGTGGGGAAGACTCTGAACCGCGACCGGTGAGACTGCTTGTATCGGGGGGTCAAGGTGCTGCTCTCGTGACGTATGTGTGTCGCAGAGGGCTGCTTGGCAGACAGGCCTATCGTGTGTGTGTATAGTGTTTAAAGTGCTTTCAATTTACGATCCTGGCCTGTCCTATCAATTGGTCATCATCATCAGCTGCTGCTTTCTCAACATTGTTTTCCGAGAGATTTTTTTCACAAGGAAGAAGCAGTGGGACAAGGAGGTGCCGGAAGCAGCCGTGAATCCGGAAGCATAGCCAAGAAGATGGCCTTCAACGAGGTAAGTCAATAAAAAATTTCTGAAAAAATGCGCATTCTTCAAATTTTTTTAATATTTGCAAAATAAATCCCGTAAGTTTTCGCGATCTTTTTTAAAAACCCATCGTCAACTGCAGTTCTAACCTAACCTCAGAGGGATGAGGGGGGGGGGGACTCCTACTTGCTGATGCACAAGTTGCCAACCGTTCATGCACTTTTTAACATTCCATGCTTCTTTTTTCCTTTACTTCACTGGTTTTTCAACTTTTGTTCTTATTTTTTTATTTTTAATTCTTGTGTGTATTTTTTTCTTTTATTTGAATTCACAAAGAATTATTTAAAGAAACATCTATAGGTACAATCTACTTTGATATATATATATATACAATACTATTTACGTCATTCTTTAAGATTACTCATCCCTCATTCCAAATAAATTTCATCCTCTTTTGGTACTTTAAATCTCGGTGACGTAGATGCCCTATTTTTCAAGGTTTTAAAAGATAGAGTTCGTTTTTTTTAAAAAAACACATTTTTTTTAAAGCAATAATTTTTGCACAAAATTGATTGACAATTTTTTTATATTTACAGAAAAGAAAATCGTTATTTTGTTCTATTTCTAACAAAAGTACAAAATGCATATAATACATAACCTCTTAATAAACATTTTGTTTTGAATTTTGGGTTATAATTTATATATTGGAAAAAAACAATGATATTTAGTATTTTAATTATAAATTTCTAATTTAATTTTAATTTCTTACATAATCTTACATACTTTACAATTTTTTATAGATTTTAAAAATAAAAAATTATATAATTGTTTATAATTCTTAGGAAAGCTTTAAAAGCTTTTTTTATTTAAGAAACAATATGCCTCTGTATAATAGATTTTTATGATAGGTTAATTGTTGCTCATTTATTTCACAACATAACACAAAAAAAAACATTTCTTTCTATTGTATCAATCAGTGTTTCTTTCAGCCTACACTCGTTAACTATATACCTATTAATTATTAACTCTTCCTCTTCACGTTTTGACACAAACAATTAAGAATAATTATAAGCTACACGTATATTATTTGTATATTAAATTTCAATTTCTCACTTTGGACAACGTATACTACTTTCAATTTTGATATTAATGGATATTTAAAAATTATATATTTGAAAATATTTCTTTATACAAGAAGGAAATTTATTTATTATGCAAAAAATAATATAAATTATTATTGATTTATTTTTTTTGTATACATACTTAAAAATATGAAAATAATTTAAAAACAAAACAATGACTTAACAATTAAAAAAGAAATACATAAAAGAATTTAAATATAGTTTTTCGACATAAAGAAGCACTTAATAATTAGCGGAAGTTGTTTATCTTTTGAAACCTTTAAAATTGGATATATATATATATATATATATTGAAAGAAATTGAATGTTTTTTTCTCTCGTTTTATAAAATTTTTCTGTAAAATAAAAAGGGAATGAAATTTATTTGTTTTTTTTTGGTTTTAACAAAAATATTGTTTAAAATATAATATCATATTAGAGATAATTATTGATTATATGCTGACGTGCTAAGAACTTACATAAGTCAATTGATGATTCTCCCATAGCTTCCGAATACGTAAGAGTTTGGCCTATAAGTGACAATACGACTTATGTAAGAACATCCTTAGTACTGCAGCATACATATATGGATATATAGGGTTAATTTAGTTTGTATATATATATATATATACTCTTGATAATAAGTTAAAAAATAATTCTCTAAATTTTCGATTTTTTTCTTAATTTAATTATTTTCGAATTTTTAAATAAAAATTATGAATTCAACTATTTTATATATTTTTATTTGAAACAAATATAAATTATTCTAATCAAATATAATTTTTTTGAATTAAATACAAATTATTTGAGTCTAATTTAATTTATTTCAATCAAATATAAATTATTCTACTCAAATATAAATTATTTGAGTCTAATATAATTTTTTTGCATTAAATATAAATTATTTGAGTCTAATACAATTTATTTGAATCAAAAATAAAAATTATTTGAGTCTAATATAATTTATTTGAATCAAATATAAATTATTTGAGTCTAATATAATTTATTTGAATCAAATATAAATTATTCTAACGCAAATATAATTTTTTTGCATTAAATATAAATTTTTTGAATCAAATTTAAAAATTATTTGAGTCGAATATAATTTATTTGAATCAAATTTAAAAATTATTTGAGTCTAATATAATTTATTTGAATCAAATTTAAAAATTATTTGAGTCTAATATAATTTTTTTGCTTTAAATATAAATTATTTGAATCAAATATAAATTATTCTATTCAAATATAATTTATTTGAATTAAATAAAAATATATTTTTCTTAATTCTGAAAAAAATTTTGGATTCTCTCTCGACAAAATTCTATATATATTTCTGCAATATTTTTTCTAGGTTTGAAATTTTATGAATAGACAAACTGTATATGCAAATTCGTAATATATACAAATCCGTTGATTTCGTGATACTCGATTCTATGAAGGAATTTGAGTCAATGGGAAATCTTCTTAAAGGATATACCGTTGCTCCCGTGTTAGTAGTAGTAGTTGGATATGTATTTATATATATTCTGTCCTCTCTCTATACAGTGTTGAAGCGCGTGCCGTTTTATCGTTACATACCAATCCGCTTTTAATTCAACACACTCGTCGAGATGCGATCTTTTTTGGAAAAAAAAAAAAATAAATAAACTCCCCAAATTAATGTGGAAAAATAACGGATCTGATACTAATTTTAAACATTTTTTTATTTTAAAAATATATAAAAGAGGAAAAGAATTTTTTTTTAGTTTTTCTCGTTAAAAATCTGTGGAAAAATATAAAATTTTTGATTTTATAAATAATTTATAGGTAATTAAAAGTTAGTTGCAATTCGTGCATTGACCTGTTTAGACATGCTTAACGTCAGTGTAAATTTTGTAATTTTAATTACATTTTTTCTTGCTTTTTAATTTTTTCTTTATTCCGGTAGTGTTTGAATATTTTTAAAATCGCGAACTATTAAATATTTAGAAAAAATATTTTATTATATTATTATTATTATTATTATTTATTTATTATTTTATATTTTATTTATTAAAATTCAAAAAACGTGGTTTCCGGAATTATGGAAATTTTTTCCGCACATCTTATCGTTTTTGAAATAAACACTGAAAAAAAAATTTATTTGATTCAAATACACTTGATTAAGTTGACTATTATATCAAATAACTATTTAATTGAACAAAATAATTTTTATTTGAATTAATAATTAAATAATAATTGTATTTGAATCAATAATTTTTGTATTTGAAACAAATACAACAATTTAATTGGACTCATATGATAATTATTTGTTACAAATAAATATTTATTTGCGATAATAATTATAAGTAATCGATTATTTGAATCAAATAATTTTGTTTTTTTCAGTGTACAATATCGCAGACTATGGTTAGAGATGTATTTTATTATTTATTTAAATTTATTAATTTATTATTTATATATTATTATTTTATAATAATTATCGTAAAATTGTTTTTCTACTAAAAAAATTTAAAAGTATCGTAATTTTCTTAACAAAAAGTTTCGTTATATTTATCCTGTATTTTAAAATTGAAAATACATTTTTGTACTAAATTTCCGCATTGTAGGTCAAAATAGTAAGTGGGGGACACAAAATTTCGAATACACTGAAAAAAAAATTTATTTGATTCAAATACCGGTGTATTTAGTTATTACGCAAATAAATATTTACTTGAATCAAATATATAATATTTGATTCAAATAAGAAATATTTGATTCAAGTAAATATTTATTTGATAATAACCAAATACACCGGTATTTGAATCAAATAAATTTTTTTTTCAGTGTATAGGAAAAAACGTGAATTTTTCTTTATATATTAAAAAATAATTATTAATTTCTTTTTTTTATTAATATTTCTAAATTAATTTATATTTTATAAAATGTAAAAAAAAGTATTTCTTCTTTTTTTTTTTTCTTTATAGAGTCGCGAATGTAAATTTATGTCCCTTGTCCGAATGGATATCGAACCCAACAAATTCTTTTTCTCCTTAAGGTTTCGGTAGAAACATGAGAGTTTCTTGAACTTTTATACTGTTTTTTCGTGGGTGGGAAAGCTTTTTATCTCTTCCATGGAAAAAGAAGTAATTCCAGAAGCAGACACCCCTTCCACAAAGGGATCCCACGTGGTATTATGTTGGATTGGATAGTTACGTAGTATGTAGTTTTTTTTTTGCGAATACATGGGAATCACCCTCCTCCCTCCCTCCTTTCTCCCTCAAAAAAAAGGATGATTGGTGGGGGGGGGGGTGGTTGTGTGCGTTGCGTCGTGTGCGAGAGAATTGGTGGCGGCGGCGCCGCGACGCTACCATCCCTTGCATGGTTTCTCACAAGAAGATTCTCCAGTCGATCCGCCGCGGTTTACCTGCATGTTAACTCGGATTTACTTCCCCCATATATCAAATACTCTCTTTCTCTCTCTCTCTCTCTCTTAAATCATTTTAACTTTTTACATTTATCCTCATATATTTAAAAAAAAAGGAAAAAAAAATTAAACTTTTATTTAAGCCGTTAGTAATTAATTTAAAAAATTTTAAATATTATATATTAAGAGGTATAAAGGGTTGAATTTAATATTTTTTTTTGAAAAAAAAAAAAAAAAAAAACAGAAGTGGCATATTTTATCGATATTTTATATTTAAAACATTTATAATTTTTCTTATGTATTGAAATATTTGTTAATTTTTATTATTTAATTGATAATAATTTAATTATATTTTTATTGATATTATATTTTATTTCAATTAAGAAAAATTCTTTTTTAAAAAAAAGTTTGTTGTGTTTCGTTGCGTGACTGCGTTTTGCAGCGATATCTCCGTTTGAGCTTGAAATTATTATATTTAATTTTATATTTTATTTCATGTAGTTGATGTCTGACGGTATTTG